AATGGATGTATTCACAGAAGTACTTCCTTAGTTCCATATAAGGTTGATTTATTTAGCATTTCTAAAACCTGCCTGAAAAAATTTCTAATCTGTTCTTTTTCTATAAAATAGTGGCATTTGTTTGTTCAAAGCCTATTATCTGAGAACACCTGATATTTTCTAAGTACATAAGAATTTCTCAGTTTTTACATTTCTTATAAAAATGTTAAGCCTGTCAAATTATTCAGAAGGCCAATTCTATTGTCAATCATGATACTAAACTTGGGCCGTTATTGTTACAGTAGGCCTATTCTTGTTACAGTAGGCCTGTTCTTGTTACAGTAGGCTTGTTCTTGTTACGCTTACAGAGGCTTGTTCTTGTTACACTTAGAGTAGGCCTATTCTTGTTACAGTAGGCCTATTCTTGTTACAGTAGGCTTGTTCTTGTTACAGTAGGCTTGTTCTTGTTACAGTACACTTGTTCTTGTTACACTTACAGTAGGCTTGTTCTTGTTACACTTACAGTAGTCCTATTCTTGTTACAGTAGGTTTGTTCTTGTTACAGTAGGCTTGTTCTTGTTACAGAAGGCTTGTTCTTGTTACAGTATACTTGTTCTTGTTACACTTACAGTAGGCTTGTTCTTGTTACACTTACAGTAGGCTTGTTTTTGTTACACTTACAGTAGGCTTGTTCTTGTTACAGTAGACTTGTTCTTGTTACGCTTACAGTAGGCTTGTTCTTGTGACAGTAGGCTTGTTCTTGTTACGCTTACAGTAGGCTTGTTCTTGTTACACTTACAGTAGGCTTGTTCTTGTTACACTTACAGTAGGCTAGTTCTTGTTACAGTAGACTTGTTCTTGTTACGCTTACAGTAGGCTTGTTCTTGTTACAGTAGGCTTGTCCTTGTTACGCTTACAGTAGGCTTGTTCTTGTTACACTTACAGTAGGCTTGTTCTTGTTACACTTACAGTAGGCTTGTTCTTGTTACACTTACAGTAGGCTTGTTCTTGTTACAGTAGACTTGTTCTTGTTACGCTTACAGTAGGCTTGTTCTTGTTACAGTAGGCTTGTTCTTGTTACGCTTACAGTAGGCTTGTTCTTGTTACACTTACAGTAGGCTTGTTCTTGTTACACTTACATTAGGCTTGTTCTTTTTCACTTACAGTAGGCTTGTTCATGTTACACTTACAGTAGGCTTGTTCTTGTTACACTTACAGTAGGCTTGTTCTTGTTACACTTACAGTAGGCTTGTTCTTGTTACACTTACAGTAGGCTTGTTCTTGTTACACTTACAATAGGCTTGTTCTTGTTACACTTACAATAGGCTTGGTTTTTGTTACACTTACAGTAGGCCCGTTCTTGTTACTGTAGGCTCGTTCTTGCTGTTGCTAGTAAGCTCATTCTTCTTGTGAATCCATGTTGGCTCTTACTGATGCCAATCATATGCTTTTTAGCACATTTTTGTAGACCAAAATATTCTTACTTCAAATATAGCGAATCCTGAGATGTTTTTTTTCCTAAAACTATGAATACAAAGATGACTTGTTCATTAAGTCATAAAGACTGATTTTGCATGATTGTCAATACAGAGTCTTCTAATTTAACAAAAGCAGGATTACAAAGTTTTCCTCATATTAAGTATACTATCAAATTATTATATAAGCTTATTGTTGGCTCCATTGTGAATAACAGTGCATAAATATGTTGTGAATAATGATGTCTTGGTTAATGCCTCTTTATTTCAGACTTGATATTTAGAACACATTTATAGCAATTCAGGCCTATTGTATATAAATGATAATAAATTGAGATTTCATTGTTAAATCTATAAATGGAATATAGATTTATATGGTATTATATTGACTACCTCATTGAAACTGATAGTAACTGTATTTATTGTATCCCAGAACGATAATAAATATTGAAATTTCAAGTACTGCTTTCTATCATAATATTCAGATAAAAAGACCAACATAAAAAACGCAAATGGATTTTGCTGCATGTATTTGAGAACAGCATTAATTCTTCTTCAGATAATTCTCTTTTTATGATAACAACGTCTGAAATGCAATGTGCTATCACTTCAATAGGTTACATTGATTAGGGATAATCAACATTATTTATTAATACACCTGATAGAACTCAAATTCTTATGCTTATATATATCTTAATTAGATGCCATATTCTTATTCTGAAAAGTGATATGGGTAGGATATCTTTTCAGCTGTTGAATTATATTTTAAAAGACAGCTTTTGTTTCTGTTACATTATCACAATAAGCTTTGAATACAATACAGTAAAAGAAACAATTTTGAATTTCGAAAAAAAAATTTTATTTGATAGATTGGTGTAGCTTTGAATAATACTAGATCTTTTACATAGTTGATTTTCATTTAAAATTTATGCACAGTTGTTGAGATTTTGATAAAAGCACTTTATAATTAGATTTTTATTATAATTATTACTTATAATAATAATATATGTTATAGTGATAATAATAATTTTATAATAATATTAATATAATAGAACTAATATATAAAAACATAATGAATAACAGGTTCTATAGTGTCTTTTAAATGATCGACCCCATTTAACTTATTAAGTACACATTGTCTTATATTACTATCATATTTATATCAATTACAGTCTTATATCAAGTATATACTATGATTATAAATAATATATGTCTAGAGGATATTATAGAATAATATTGACCTGATTGTTTATTTTATTTATTCTAGAGTAGTAAGAGTGTCAATAACAAACAACCCAGTAAACGTAAGTAGCATTTCTTGAAGATTTAGACTTTGCACATTACATTAACCCAAAGATAAGAAATTCCACCCCCATTTCCATTCAGGGATACATTTTTTTTGTACAGTATAAGATGAGTTCTTTTTGTAAAGATTTAAGCATAAATCCCTTATTCATTGTCAAAATTCCAGGTTCCTCTAGGTCATGTCACAGAGCCCTGAATGCATGCGACCAATGAAAAGTATCTCCACACGATTTCAAGTTTTGGGACAATCCTTTCATTGGTCAAAATTTCTTCACAATCTCTTTGATTACCTATGAAGAACATTATATTTGAAATTACCTACTGCATATTGATCTGTTTAACTTACCGGTATCTATATATTTTAATTTGCAGTTCCTTCAGCAGGATCTAGAAGAAGTTTTGCCAGACCTGCTATGGCCCAACAGAATGGACAGTCTGTATCTGCTACTGAACTCAAACAGAAACAAGATGAAGATGCTAAAAAAGGACCAAATGCTGCAGCTAATGCAGCAGCAGGTACTGATTATACAGTTATTTCATTTGTTAATTGTTCCCAAAGTGAATAAGTTTATAAGGTCAAATCCTAGATTTTGAGCTTGTCACGAACTTTTTTTTTAAGGACAGGCTGTAGCTTAACAAGTGAGAGGGATGATGGTTATTTCCATGTCGTTAGTTCTAATATCAATCAGCTGTAAAAGTCTGGTGTCTTAAAACAAGTCATCTTTCCTTCGTATTTAAGTCAATCCAGCTGTAAATGGATTAAGATAATCGAAGAAAGATCAATTCTGTGCTATGAGCTTTGGTCAAAGATAGCTCTGAGAAATGACCCTGAATTGTTATCCTGTAAAATAGAGATGTTATGTTTTCATTTTGTTTCAGCTCGCCGTAAGTCAAATTGTGTCAAAGAAGTTGAGATGATTAAACAAAGAAGAGAGGAAAGAAGAGCTGCCCATAATGCTATAAAAGAAGTCAACGAAACTAAATATGATACCAGTGATCCTAATTGGGAATTCTTAAAAATGATCACGTAAGCAGCATTTTTTTCATACATTCAGAAAATATCTTACATCTAGTCTTTCTGTCATATACATTGTGTATTTTGGGGTGGCACGGTGAGTTCAGGATTCTTAGAATCAAACAAACGTTCAATAAAACAAGTTAAAACAGAGTTCCACTTGAGCTGAAAATATAGGTGCAGGTTTCAAAATGACCTGGAATTCAAAATGGCCGAGAAGGAAATAGAATATGACATATTCTGCCTCTAATCTGATGGGAACAGACAAAACCAGTCGAACCAATCTCTACCATGATCAAATTCTTTTTACGTGTGAAATTTGTTGAACAATTGGAAACGGTGAACCAAAATTATTTTCTGCGAAATGAAAAAGTAAACTGTATGACTAACTACATATTATACTTGTTATTATAGTGACTATCAAGAATCATTAGAATACAGACCAATAACAATATCAGATCCTATTGAAGATCATCAAATATGTGTATGTGTTCGGAAACGGCCATTAACGAAAAAAGGTATGGTGATTTATTTCAATGGTTATTTATCCTTGGACATCTATATTATATGGATCGTTGTGCATAATGTATTTAAAGATAACAGAATAGCTAAAAGTTTTTTACTTTTACCACTCTGAAAAGGAGGTATTGTGATATTGTATTGTTAAAGGATGAACATTCCCTTGACTGCAATAACCACTTTCCCCGCATCATGGAATGCAGTGATTTGGTTTAATTTTACGCCAGACAAAAAAGCCCAATTATAGCTTTCGACAGACAGACTATTAAAATTATGGCTTTCTGTTGAAGACTTAAATGTCTTGATTGGTTGTATTCTCCTAACGTACAATCCAACCAACCAAACCGTTGCATTTACAAACTTCTGTGATACAAGAAAGGTGGTTATTGTAATCAAGGTATAAGACACAGTTGATGATAGCTTGTATTGTATTGATGTAGTTTGTCTAGTTCTGCACATTTTTGTCTTTTAACATTAACAATTTAAGTGTCAAAAGGCATTATTTCCACTCACTGAGTTTCAACTTTCTGCTAATTGAAACAAGTGCTTTCATTGGTTAGAAGCCCTAGTAATTGTAAAGAACTATAAAGACTGTATTTATTTATAGAACTTGGTAAAAGAGAACCAGATGTAACCACTGTACCTAATAAAGAAAATGTGATAATTCATGAACCTAAGTTGAAAGTTGACCTCACTAAATATTTAGAAAATCAAAGTTTTCGCTATGATTATGCCTTTGATGAAAATTCGACAAATGAAATGATCTATAGGTAAGTCTCCATGACAACAAATAATTTTCATTGGGTGCCATGTTCGATCAGTGAGTTAATAATGGCTTGCTCGCTAAATTTGAAAATTTTGTCCTGTCAAAATTACCTTCATGGCACATTTAGCATGTTCATAGAGTGGCAAGAACAAGAGACAAACATTCTACAGTCCTGAAAAAAGTTAAGTTGGCAAAAAACCATTGAAATGAACTCATCTGCACATGCATACAAAAGGCTGTTTTTATTGGCAACATGTACCAGTGGAAGAGTTATTGAGTCATGTTCTTCTATTACTGAATAGCAATTTTCAGTTCTTACAAACCAAAAGATAGTAATTTTAACCATGATCAAATATTTTTTGTAGATATACTGCGAAACCTCTAGTAGAATGTATTTTTGAAGGAAGTATGGCAACATGTTTTGCTTATGGTCAAACTGGTAGTGGAAAAACTCATGTAAGTCAATTCAACAAATTTACTTTTATTCCTATAACAAATCATATTGACAATGTCATGCTCTTATGAACTGTGTCTAATATCTTGCCTTCATTCGGCTCATTTTTTGTATCACGGAATGCAGCAATCTGATTGGATTGTTCTCGATGGAATACAACCAATCAGAGCCCTTGACTTAAAAACTGTATACATTATGGCTAATGGATTACATATATTTGTCGAGGCCTTAGATTGGCTGTATACAATAACCTACAATCCAATCAAATTGCTCCATTTACAATCTTCAGTGATACAAGAAAAGAGCATAATAAAGTCAAGGTATTAGACACAGTTCGTAAGAGCATGACATTGTGAAGATAATAAATAGTTGCACATAAAAGTTATAGTAACATACTAAGATTTTTAACACTAAAAAAAAACTTGTAGACAAAATAATACAATGGCCATGTTTTTTGCTTGTTTAGCTCCTGAAAGATTTCTTACTGTTATAAATTATTACTCCCAATTTTGTCTTGCTTTGGATGAAATTTTAGCAGATTTGTTTTGCTCATATGGATTTTTAGTCAATTTTGGATAATAACTAAAAAAAATCTATTTATTAAACTTTATTGTTGTTTACAGACAATGGGAGGTAATTTCTCAGCCAAAGGTCAACAAGATTGTTCAAAAGGAATATATTGTTTAGCAGGTAAGATTCTGGTCTCAACTGTTAAAGATATAGATTTTACATTCCAAATTTCATTCGGACATCTGTAGTTTTTGCAATTCCACTAAAACTAACTCATTATATGGCATCACTAGAGGGGAGCTACTATTGATATCTATGCAGTTCCCCTCTAGTGACGTCAGTTTTAGTGGAATTGCCATAAACACAGACTTGGGAATGAAAACTGGAATGGTGCAAATTGATGCTATCGGTGTCCCTGATACACATAAAAAATTTATAAAACCTCTTTACAATCCCTTAGTAGTGTTCAATACATCAATTGTACAGCGATATTGAAATATTAAAACAGAACCTCAAAAAAAAAATATCTTGGAGCTATATAGTCCGTTTGGTGCTGATGCTCCTTAATGCATTTCATTTCATTTTCAAAAAAACATCTTTACATGATATGTGATCTTTAGACAACTGACCTATTTCATGTTTTTTAGGTTCTGTTTTGTTATTTCTAAATAATGTAATATCTTATTTAAACGGTGGTAGCCTGTACATCATGTACAAATGCAATGCAAATGATGTTTCAAACTTTTAACATGTTTTTCTATGTACCTTTATTTGTGTTTTACAGCTAAAGATGTGTTTCGATTACTTCATTCTAAGTACAAGAAATCAGATTTAGTTGTTGGTGCAAGTTTCTTTGAAATATACAGTGGAAAGGTAAATTTCAAACTGTATTATTTAAGATTTTTGCTTTGGAAAAAAAGCTTATATCGCAATGAGTGAAAATTCTTTTGAAAGTGAATGCATACACATATTGGATCATAGAAAAAAAGACAGAAGACAAGAAGCAACTTTGTCCATGAGGATCCTTTCTACCAGCTGGGCATGCATTCTCGAAATGATCTTAGCGCTAGGATATCCTAAGTCCTTATCTTCCAACATTGATTCTAGGACATCCTAGTGCTAAGATCGTTTCGAGAATACGTGGCCTGGTCTTTTATCTTTCCTGGGATATTCATACCCATTTCTAATTGGAATAATGAGAAAAGATAACTTATTCATGGTCATCAGACTTTTACACGCCGATTGAGATTATAACCCTCGACTACCATTTGTTTAAAGAATATTTGAAATATTTTCTGTAGGTGTTTGATTTGTTGAATAATAAGAGTAAATTACGTGTATTAGAAGATGCTAAACAACAAGTACAAGTTGTAGGGTTACGAGAAGAGAGTGTTAATACTGCTGATGATGTTTTACATTTAATTCAACATGGTAATAATGTTAGGTAAGTTACTTCATTACAATAGTTATAGCATGGTCACTGTAACACTGGCCAGAATTACAATTATAGAGGTCTGTTCTTGTAAGATGTACTGAAGGTTGGTTGGTTGGTAGATGATAAGTTAACGTTCGCCCCCAGCTGATATCGCAGTGAAACTTGGCCCCAGATGGTGTGGCTTGAGATACTCGATCTCCTTCATTCTTCCAAACTAAAACTGCTTATGGTAATTCTTGTTGATTGGAAGTCGAGTGGTAGTCATTGATTTGATTTGGTTTAGTTACATTATCTCTTGGAAAACTGGAAGACCTGAAAAAAATATCAGAAAAGAGGGGGAAAGAGTACAGTGAAAGGAGAAAACTAAAGTCTTGTAGTTTTGAAGGCTCTGGTACATGTTCCCCCTTTAATATCGAACATTTTTTTCACATTTAATTCTCATATTGATGACATTAATGACCTTTGACCTTTCAGAACATCAGGAACAACATCTGCTAATCAACATTCTTCTAGATCTCATGCTGTTTTTCAAATTATTCTTAGAAAGCGGTAGGTATTTTACTTTATTATTCCCTGAACCAGAATCTGGTACCATTGATGATTGTTTAAGAGGTAAAAACAAAATGGCTGCCATTGAATTCTGTTGAAGGCAATATCTTCACTCCTAATGCACATACAAACAAAATTTCGGTGTTTATTAGTATGTTTTCATGGTCATGGAAATGATTAAATACTTATTACAAACATCACATTTATATGGTTTCTCACCTTTTATGAATATTAAGGTTACTGGCTGTGGTAAAACACTTTTCACAAACATCACAACATTGATGAGATTTATTTCCAATTTGTTTTGTCTAGAATATTGAAGTTGGCTATTGCATTTCTGACAATTGCCAGGAACACAAGAATTTTTTTTTCTTTTGTCAAAATATATGAAAGTTGTATGTGTTGTTTATTTCAGTAATACAAATAAAATATTTGGTAAATTTTCACTGATTGATTTAGCTGGTAAGTAGAAATTCCATTTCCTTAAAAAAAAAAAAAAAATGGAATTCAAAAAAGAAATGTGATCATATTTTCAGCTCTTGAGATTCAGTTACCTGGCATGTACTCGGCCAAATCTCTTGACTTATTTTCTATCTCTGTTGAACCCACCTTCATCAACCTAAGGAGGATACATCAGCTAAGATCTTGAAACCTATAAAGAAAATTTATTCAAATGAAAAGTTAACAAAGTGTCATCAGGAGTTCTGAAGTAGTGAACATGCATTGTAATGCAGATTGGAGTAGAGTAAAGAAAAGCATGCAGCATGGGTAATAAAAAAAATTAAAATACCACGCACAATTGGGAACGGAAGCTAGCTAATTTTGATCATGCTCTTAAGCCCAATCAAGAAGGCATAATTTATTTATAGTTGTTTATCGGTATGTAAATTGATTTTGTTTTCAGTAGAGTGGCCACAAATCTAGTTAGTGTTCAAATTGATAAAGTTATTTTCAAATCCCTGACAAAATAATGAAAAAGAAAATAATATGACTATTTAGAAATTGAAATGTTTTTTCATCAGGTAATGAACGTGGAGCTGATACATCTAGTGCTGATAGACAAACTAGAATGGAAGGAGCAGAAATTAATAAAAGTTTACTGGCATTAAAGGTTAGATTATTATGTATTTTGTGCATGGAAAAATAAAGGACTTCAAATCTTCAAATGATTTTATTAGAAGTCTAGGAAATGTCATAAGAGGAAAAATACTTTAGATTAGTGTTTTATCTGTAGCATTGGAAAAACTAAGAACATTACAAAAACGGGACAAACCACTACCAAAATGCTGAATTACTGACTGAAAGGTCTCTTCCCGCTTGCAAAAATTTGAAAAATAGAATTATATATTTTGAAAATCATGTTTGGAAATTTCTTTCCAGTGAAGTTGGTTTGTTACTATTTTACTGTGGGTTCCAATACCTCCTCTGTATCCCCACCGTTGCATTATCCATGTCTTACCCCTTCATCAGATGGCTTAATGTAGTCTTTTTCTTTTTCTTAGGAATGTATTAGGGCATTAGGTAGAAGAGGTGCTCACACACCATTCAGAGCCAGTAAATTGACTCAAGTTTTACGAGATTCATTTATAAAAGAAGGTTCAAGAACATGTATGGTATGTATTAGTTTGGAACATAAAATGACTCACTTTTAAGATGACTTCCCGTATTTTTCATCTATTCATATTTTCAATTATTGGTCAGCTAATACTTATATAAATCAAAAGTAGAGGTGTTTAAATCGAGAAAAATACCAGTTTTTGTCTCACAAGTCCCTGATAAACTTGTAATAAGTTAATAAAGTAGGGAATGTAGACATATTTTCCCAAGAGTGACTGATCATTAAAGGTCAATTAGTCTTTTTTAGATTGTCCAGACGTAAACAAATATGAAGCCTAGTTTTGGCTTTAATTTTTTTAATTTTACTCCTTTAAAATTGCTTGGAATATGTCATTTTTGCATGATTAAATATATTACAGATTGCTATGGTGTCACCTGGTATGAGCTGTGTAGAAAATACTTTAAATACATTACGATATGCTGATAGGTAAGATTACATGTGATATTCTGTTGCAGATTTGAAGGGACATATTTTAAATTCAGCTTAAATGACATAACACATTTTGCTTTTCCTAAATTCGATTCTAATTCAAGTATTAAAAAAATGTACCACATTTTCTGTCCTAGGATTTCTAAAACCAATCAATCAACACTCAGAAAAGGAAGTGTTTTGAAAGTTGAAAAATTTAAATTATTACCTTTCAAAACATATCAATGCAAGCGAATTAACATGTTTGTAAAATATGCTAAAATCTTGTTTCCTTTCAAATTCTTTGAATATATTGAAGCAATAGTACAAACTTTTTTGGGGTGAGTTTCCTAATACCCTCATTGGCAATTCAACTTTGTGGTTTTGATTATCTTAAACTTATTTTTATAGAGTAAAAGAATTGGGTCCAGGTGGTAAAGTAGAAGGAAAACCAGCTGAAATATCACCTTCTAATGGTAATTTTCAAGAAATAGGAACCATGTCGCCTCAAAATAGTGATTTACATTTACTTAAAACTTCTAATGTAAGTAACTAATATTTACTCTATTTATATTTAGAATTTTATATCTAGGCTCTAAGTTTTATATACTTACTTCCAATTTGCCATCCATGAATAATTTATGAAACTTTTGAAAGAATGACAGAAACAACCCTATTTTACCAGGATAACAACTTAGGTTCATAAGATCCTTTCTAAGAGCTGAACTTTGGTGAAACCACCTGGCATTGTTTTCAACTGGAAAAGGTAGGCAAAAGATAGCACACTCCTATACCAGTATATAACCCAGACCTTAAAAACTCAAGACAGATAAGATCTTACGTGTTATTATTAATATTTTAAATGTAATGTGAAGATTATTGTTTTATTATAATTTATTTGTTTACAGCAAGAAGAAGTATCAGAAGAATTATTATCATTCCATCAAGCTATTAATAAAATGCAAGAAATGGAAGAAGAAGTTATTGAAGATCATAAATCTTTAGCAGAAGTAATATAAATTTCTGAATTATTTTATAAGGCCATACAAAATAAATAGTCTGTTTTACAGGCCTTTTTTTCAAAAATCAGGCCAGAGGCCGAATTTATTATTTATTATTTATAAGTGTTTTTTTAGATTTTCAACTGGAATAAATTGGAGCAATTGAAAGCATTTATTATTTATTACCACAAATTTAATGTACATTTAATATTAAGGCAACAATCAGGCATTTTTGGGCCTGTAAAACAGACTCTTTATTTTGTATGGCCTAAATACTTTTGTTTTTGTCATTAAACTATGGTTCAGCTTGAATTTAATTTCACATGTTGCACACTCCAACAGTTTTGTATTGCACACTGAACTGGTATTGTCTGTTTTGATTTAGTTGAAGTTCAGAAACATATAAGCTAATTAACAATGACATATTTTGTTTATTGTATCTTACAGCAAGGTCAAAAATGGCTATTAGAAGACAAGAGATTATTAAAAGTTACAGATAGTGTAGATTATGATACTGAAGGTCAGTTGATTATTCATCAAATTAACTTTTTGATTTAACCTGATAAATACTGCATCACAAAAAAAATTTGACAAGCATTCAAGAAGGCTGTCTTTAGACCATAAGTGAAGTGGCTATTTTAAAAATAAAAGCTAATAAAAATCAGAACGAAAGTGTGGTCTAAGTTTGATTACACTGACAATGGTGTTACTTTAAGTTGGCTCATTGCAAAATATTGACGGTGAGCACATTTGCTTATGAGTGGACAAAGCCTAAACAAGAGCGGAAATCAACATCATAGTTCTTGTTTAGCTCTGGAAATAAAAATTTGCTGAGTATGAAATAAATCGTTTTGTGGGAAATCATGAAGATCAACACATTATATTTCAGCTTATGCCAAACAACTGGATATAAGTTTAGTAAAAAGAATACAAATGCTTACAGCCATGAGAGGTAAGATTAAAAACAGCAATGTTATTGTTAAATTGTTATGATGGCATTTAACAGTCTCCAATATGCAAGAACATTCGTAATTTCCATGGACCCATCAAGATTTGTTAGTCTTATCAGAATGAAGCAGAAGTGTGAATATATTGAATGTTTACTGAATACATTTTAAGTGAGAGTTATTACTTCTTGGAGGTAACCCATAAGTTTCAACCTTTAGTTTCAATTACATCTCCTACTTTCAGAAAAAGTGGCAACTTTCCGAAGAGAACTTCAAGAAGAAGAAACCCTGAGTAAAAATATCAAAGTACGAAAACCACCAAGATAATTTTCATTTTGTAATACTTAATGCTGTAGTCAGTCCCTTCAAATCTTACTCTCTATTTACTTCTAACTTGCCCCTCGAATGTATTTATTTTAATATTCATTTGTGTTTACATGTGGTGTTTAACGAAAAGTGCTCAGAGTTATTTATGCAAATGAACAGTGATATCATGTGTTTGAAGTTTAAATTGTATGATGGAGATTTACTTTAGACTAGAATTTTTTCTCTGCCTTTGCTTTTGTGAAATATCGTAACTTGCTGTAAGAGCATTTGTTTGGGACATCCATGAAATCAGTTTAGTTTATAATATTTGGCTTCTTAAAATGTGCGTGAAGTATTTAATTGTGGATCTTCGTGTTTCAAAAAAGCACCTCAAAAATTGACTATAAGATATCATTAAAGTTTCATACGGTATTTCACTTTTTATGGCGCAAAATCTTGAATGGCTTTGCCTTTTTAACAAGTATTTAGGACACAAAATACATGACGTCATTAGAACCTGATATTTTTTTTGTCCTAATTCTGTTAAATAGGCTAATAAAGTTGATTGTATTTAGATTTTAATAGTGTAATTTGTATAAATATTTTGTATATAATTTGTATTTAGGTCTGCTGTAAAATGACTATATAGGAACAAAATAGTCAAATTATTTCATTGATCATTGTGAATCTCTAATATTTAGTGATTGCTATAGCATTTAATTACTTGCTCAACTTGTCTTAACTTATAAAAAGATAACTTGTCAGTTTTGAGTTGGTTTGCCTTAATTTGAACAATGCAAATGCTAATTATTTGGAATAAGTCAAATATAAACAATTTTATGAACTCTGGTATGCATATTCACAAACACACTGTAACCGTTTTATCAAAAGAGTTTAAGAACATTATTTAACTGGCATTTAGGTGAAGTAAAAACAATAGGTGATGCAGCCTGCATTCAAAATATTTTTGAGAAAATACATATTGTTATTCTGTGTGTCTCTGCATACCAAGATTCAAAACTTTACAACAAAGCAGCTCTTCATGTAGACAAAGGTATAAAAACGTCTCGATGTTATTCTAACTGAATTATTAACATAGCACTGATATATATATATATATATCAGAATTATATCATTAATATATAGAGAGAGAGAATTGTATCCTATATATATATTGTAGGCCTATAATACAGGTCAAAGGTCAGATCTAATGTAACATGTGATAATAACATAATTTATTAAGATACATGATTGGGTATGATAAATGTAACTAGTAAGTATATTAATGTATAAAATATGTAATGATATGAATGTCTGCTGACAAGTTTATAACAAATACTGTGATATCTTATATTATGTAGAAGCCAGTAGAACATAAGAAACCATCCATTAAAGGAACTTTTACTATATTTTTTGCTTACCAATCTCGTGCCATTAGATATCAAACTAGAAACAAGCTTTGTTTATAAATTGTTTAAGAAATACGTTAAGATTTATCGTAATTTTTTCAGTAATAGATGTTTTTTCTGTTTTATGACTTTGACATCCTAATAATTTTTCATTTCTTTAAAAATTTGATCATGAAGGATGTCAGTGAATAGGTATTAATTCAGCTTTATGAAAATGTTTTATATGATTTTGAAATATTGTGTACTATTATACTAAATGCATCATTTCTGTTTTGTCACTATCTGTAGTAGGTGATCATATTAGACCGAAACATCTTCCTCTATAGCTATTTTGAAAGTTGTCAGCTGGTGTAGAGACAGAAATACTAGGCCCTGTTTTATGGGGATTTTCCACATCTCCAAAGGCGCAGGGGTTTTAAAGCTATTTAGATACCTTGGATGCGCTAGACCCAGATATAGTACTAAAGTTATGATGATGCTCAACACTACTTTGCAGTCATCGTAAGGGTAATTCATGAAAAAACATCTTCAAAATCCCCATAAATCAGGGCCTGGATTTTCATACTCTACTTCAGCCAATATGGTCAAAATAGCTATCAGAGGCTGGAATTGAGGCAGAGGTTCGGACTATCCCAAGACAGTTTTACACCTTGAAATGTATTAATTTGGCTATCTTAACTAGTCATGTAGCTGGCTATATTTATATCAATAAGAATTTGTAATTCACAGTTAACCTCAACTGCTAATGAATCAACTAAGTCATTTCGATTAAACCTGGTATCAAATAATTGTACTCTGAAGCCATAACATTTTATCTTCAATGTGCATCAGGCTTTATTAAGTGTGCCTTTAAGTGAAGTGCGCCATGCATGTTTTTGCTTATGCCTTTTATTATTAATATTGTTGATGCTATGTGTACTAAATATATATAATAACTCCAGTACAGTGTGAAAATTTTAGTCAATTACTTACAGCATTCTGTGTATCAGGAATAAATTCAATTCTTCAACTAGTATTAGCTTTAATCTTGAAATTAAACATATTGTCAAGAGGTTTTCTAAATTTTGAATGTGTATCAGGGACACTGAAAGCATCAAACATCATTTTAGTGGAATTGCAGGATCCACAAACACTGGATTGAAAATTGGAATGGTGCAAGTTGATGCTACCAGTGTCCACGATACATAAAAAAATGCAGTAGGCCTAATTTTTTTAGGCTGATATTTCAATTTGTCAGAAAAATATGATTACAAACAAAAGTTATTGTCTACAGAAATTTACTAAGTATAAACAACAAATGATTTCAAAGAGTTATGTCTTTAAGGAGTTTTTTTGTGTTTGATAGAATTCCATTCAGAAAGTCTCAATATTTCCATTTTTTTTAATTTTATTTTATGAATTATTTTCCTCAAGTATATGCTCATATTATTCACATGACAATCAATTTAGAATGTAAAATATGAGGTCTCTTAATTGTAATCTTTTGACTTTCGAGAAATTAATGTTCAAACAGATGTTAATCAATTTATTGTCTGAGCAAAATCAAGTTTTTTTGATTTTTTTTCTATTATTTTGATAAGAATAAAAAAAAGCCTTTAGAATTTCTTTGTGTTGATGAAATATAAACATAGACACACTTATGTCCTCAAAATTTTGGGAATTTTTTTCAATATTAACTTTCAAAAAATATTTTTATTAATTTAAATACATTCTAAGACTTACAGTACTATTTTAAGGTTGATATACCAATTCTGTTAAAAGTTGTATAAAAAATTTAAAAAACACTTTGCTTTGCTCAGACTTAAAGAAGGTTACTATTTAGGTCTTCATATTTGAGTATTAGATATTTAAACCTATTAACATATTATATTGGCATTGCCCTGAACAATATTATAAGTTATTCAGTATGTTTTCAAAATGGTTGATTATTTATCTTGGTTGTGATATATACATCAATATTTAAAATTTGGTTATTTTGAAGACTTTAATCAAAATATTTATTGAAAAAAAAAACACTATTCACTAAATCAGTAAAGTAAATTTTGCTCTCTTTTTTTCTGAGAGTTGTATGTTTTGGAAATGATATATTTAAGCCTAGGCTGTAGAGGGGAGCTCAGATTGAAGGGCGCAACTGGATTTTTAACTATTGTTATCCTTTGACAGCATCTAGCAGAGTCAGTGGATTAAATTTGGCTTGATTGCAATTTTTTGATCACATGACTACATCAGATCCAATGAGATGTTGTGATTTGCTACTGGACCTGAGCCCACCTTTAGCTTAGAATCTGATATCAAGGTTTAAGTTCGTACTGTTCTGATATTCAAAACTGATGTAACTTCTGATCAATATTGTAAAAGACTTAATTTGGATTTCTGTGAACATTTTTTCTGTTTTAAATCAAAATGTAATTTTAGGTTTGTTATATGTCAATCTGTATTTTAATGTACACATACACTTTCAATTTGTTCATTTCAATTTTTTTTTTTTGCAGTCGTTTGATAACTTCTCCTAAAATAAAACCTTTTATTCAATTCATTTACATATTAGTATAAAAGAAAAGGTCAGTTTCTATTAGCTATCAATATTAAGTATTGATAGAGTTTGTTTGTACAAGATGTTACCATAAGGAGTAAACACATGTTATCAACTTTATATTCTTTATATTCATATTTAAAGGGACAGGTATGTCATTCAAGTGACCAATTTTACCTTAGTTTCAGAAACAAGAATTTTCATTGTTCACAGCTCAAAGTCATAATTTGAGCCTTCAAATCCATGTGTGTCCAGAATTATCCTCATTTGAATGTTAAAATGACAAGTCGTCCTTTCTTCAGACTGACATATATAGAAAATACAAATATAATGTTATATTCCTACTTCGAGATATTTTTGATGGAATTATGCGTTTTTTGTAAATTTCTATCACTTCTGAAGACGATTTACATATATTCAACCCCCGAAAAAAAAGGCACATCTGTCCATTTAGACAATCTAATTGAAATTCGAGCAAACTTTCATTCTGTTTTTATTGTCTTTTATTTATAATATAGCCATTTCGGTGCCGGTGTAAAGACTGGCCTATTGACTTAATCTGTAACATCTGCTTTAACCAATCAAATTCCTTTACTCTCTGACAAATTGCCAGTGTTGGAAAGGGTAGATTTGATAGGTTAAGCAGGGTTAAGGATATTTTGACTAATGTCTAAGAGGCCCATCTTTAGACCCTAACTGAAGTGGCTATATTAAAAATAAAAGCTAATTAAAAAACGGAACGAAAGATTATGACCGCCCTTTAAGTAGCTACAAATGAAGTCTCGGTTAACTGGACGCTTTTAATCAACTAATGAATTGTGGTCAAAGTCAAATTAATACAGGAATCTTCATCATATATACACATCATATATCAATATTATTTTATTAATCAAAATATTACACCAAAAATGAATTCAAAACATAAAATCTAAATAAAAAGCACTGAAAACAAAAACAAAATTTGAGAAACCGGTTGTATTCTTAAGTTAATAATGTGGAGAATTTATGTGAAAATTAAAAATGTATATATTATTTCGATTGATCCCGTACAGAATAATGGCTTTAATTTGGTGGTTTTTCAGGAATTTATGGAATCTGAAAAGACAAATGTTTGACTTGACAACTGAAAATCATTCAATCCATGTAAGACAAAAGATAAGTCTTTTTGCCTCTGACAGATAAACAAAAGATTTCAATTCTGTGAATGAAATTTATCCTGAGCATCATAGATAAAAATCAATCTCCCCACACAAAAATAATGATTAAAAAAATCATCCACAAGTCATTGTTCCAAAATATAGGGCTGAATAGTCAAATTATCAGCAATACATGTAAAATGTCTTTGAGGACAAATTGAAGATGTTTGAAGCCAATAAACTTCAATGGTTTAAAAGGTATCTAGGTTTGGAAATCTTATTGTCTGACTGCAAGTCACATAGGGCACAAGAGGTACATACTATCATATGTTTGCTACATAACTTTCATGTTAACCTTAAAGGATTGTAAAGAGTTTTTCTAAAATATTTATGTGTAGCAGGGACACTGATAGCATCAATTTGCACCGTTAAAATTTTCAGTCAGACATCTCTAATTCCTGCAATTCCACAGAAAAGAAAGGGCTTGATTACGTCACTAATCATAACATATTCTTATCACGTAAGGCACTTAACAATTATTGCAGTTATCAAGTCTTTGTGGAATTGCAGGAATCACCGACATCTGATTGAAAATTGGAATGGGTCAAATTGATCAGTGTCCCCAATACACATAACAAAATTAGAATCCCTTTAAAAGATGCAAATATAACAGCTGCTATCTAGGAAAATCAATATAAGAAATAAAACTTACAGCTGCTTTTAATGCTTGGTCAATATCTTGAATTAAATCATCAACATCTTCAATACCCACTGATAATCGGATTAAATTATCTGTTATACCAAGTTTTTCTCGTTGATCAGCTGGTACAGATGCATGGGTCTGAACAGATCTAAAATCAATAAATAAGCACATTATTATCCCTCTGACTAAAATTAAGAAAACTTTAAACATTACTATGCTCATGAAGATGATACACAGAAAATGGCTGAGAATTTACTACAATACATTATTTGGTTGACTTACTATCATTAAAAGAAATGCAATAAAAAACAAAACTGAAACTTACGGAAGTTCACACAAACTCTCAAATCCACCTAAACTTTCAGCTAATGTGAAAACCTAAAGAACAGAACAAAAGTCAATCCATTTGTATGTAGTAAAAGTATTTGATAGTTGAATTTTTGTAAAGACCATTGTTAGATATCCTGATAAATGTACAAGGTATACTTCCTTCGGCCCTCTTAACTTAATAAAGATATAACAATATCATTGTGATGCACAGTGATGAATAAATTTTCCACTGGATGATGTCATTGACCTTAACATTAGGCTACTTGATTATGCATTGCCTCCATATTTATTCCTACACTTGATATACTAACCAACGAAATTTTGTCAAAATGACATTTTTGGCGTATTGAATTTTAAACATCGGAGTAAGACTGTTAAGTAACTGTTGAAAAGGCTCTATTTGCCTAACTTTAGCAAGTGAAGGCATTAAGACACTCAGCTTTCTATTAACTAAAGTTAATCCTATTTGAAGTGGCAGAATGGATTTCAAACTGATGTTAAAATGTACCTTGACAGCCTTGAGGAAAGCTCTAGATTCTTTCATACCACCTTTTATAAAGAATGTCACCATTCCACTATAGCCTCTCATTTGTTTTTTACCAATTTCATATTGAGGATGGGAGGGGAGCCCTGAAATAATAATCAGTTTGGTATAATTACTTCAAACAAAGAATACAGATGTATTATTGATCTTACAGACTAATTCATCATGGAAGCTTTATGAACAAATAAAACACATAAATAAAGACAAATTCATGAGAAGATTGGCAAACCGCAGGTACAGTGAATTCTACTCAATGTATTCATATCACTAGATCTCATCTTTCATTCCCTTGGTAATAGGTCACAAGGCTCCAGTATTCAACATCGGGATAATGAGCGATGAAATATATGTATTTATATCATTGTTAATAAGTTTTTGCTTTTGAATTTCCAGAACCGAGAAAAAAATAAAAAAGATTTTCATACTTTCTGTTAATCATAACCATTTTTAACTATTGTTTACACTTACTATCTCATCCTTTCATTTTGTTTTCTACTTCTTAACCTAGGCCAGTGCTTTTTGGAGAATCCTATTCTCATCTCACTTTAACACTAGAAACTGTTTTAACTTATACTTAGGCTTTTAAGTTTTGTAGATCAGGGGAACATTATTTGATACAATCCGTCATGTTACATTTTTTGACCCCTAAAAACTAACCTGGGTGAATGACTTTCTCAACTCGAGAGCTTTCAGAGAGAAATTTGGCAACAGCAAAACCATTGGCCATATGTTCCTTCATTCTAACATGAAGAGTTTTTAAACCTCTGTTAACAAGAAAACAATCAAACGGTGAAGGAACTGGACCTAATGCTGAAAACAATATTCAAATAAAGTAATAGTAATTAAACAGTGATCATTCATAAATGATTCAATCATAAAAGTACAGTCTGGATAAACAAAAAAAGACTTTTTGACTTTTCTTGATCATTCACTCCTTGGAATTTTGCTGATAATTAATAATGGACAGACAAGACAAACTTGTATTTTTTAAAGTCATTAAAACACCTCTACTTTCTATTCATATAAGTATGCATTTTTATTTTCATAAATGAAAATAAGGGAACCCAAAAATTGCGCTGAACAATTCGAGGGACAAATTTTCATAGGGAAATGTTTGGTCTTTTGGGTACATTTTGGTTCATTGTATTTAGAGAGAAAACTACTTAGTAAGTAATATAATTGCAATCCAACATCTGTCACTTTACAACTCATGCGAAAAATGGGTGATAATGTTTTGACTTTTTCAACTATAATAGTGAGATCTACTTACCATTTTGTAGAAATCTGAGTTTATCATTGAGTTTATCACAATTTAGAATCAAAGCACCCATAACAACATCACTATGACCTTAAATATTAAATTCAAATGTATTTCAAATGATTATCCATGGGGGTCCGTAAAATAAAAGCAAAAACCATTTGTATTCTAAAATGTGTATTTGTTCCAAGCACTGTTCATTGTAGGTATAAGCATCCTTTATGGTCTGCATGTGACATATACTGTTCAGAAGATAGAAGACAAAATGAAAGTAGAGGTTAATATTCTAAGCAATATGCGGAATTCTTCCAACTATTTTTCATCCGAAATCCAAACAGGAATTCAATATTTACATAATTAATATATCTTACTTACCATTCATATATTTTGTAAGAGAGTGCATGGAAATATCAGCACCTAATGATAGGGGTCTCTGAAACAAAAAAATCTCAAAATTATAGCCCTTTTTACAAGTCATTTACTCCCCAAATCAATTGAGGACTCAAGTACCATAAAACTAATTGTGAGAGCAAGTTCTGACTGGTAACCCTTGAGTCAGCAGACTGATGTTGTGTCACTAAATTTCATTAGTCAAAGATTTTTTTTCATTATCATTAATTCATGGAACAACTCATTGTACAAAGTGAGCAGGGGTTAAATAATTAAACTGACTCAAGACCCCTTGAGATGTCAAAATTAAGAAATGAAGACTCATCATGAGTGCCTCTTACCTGGAAATATGAAGACATGAAAGTATTATCTACCACTACAATGATTTCAGGATTTTTAGCTTTAACAACTTTAGAAATAGCAGCAATATCAACTATCTTCATTGTAGGATTAGTTGGTGTTTCCATCCAGACTAACTAGAATTACAAAATACATCAGCAATATAACATCACATGACTTAAAGACCTATCTCACTAGTCTGGAGACCAGTTGGCGACTCAAGTCTCAACTGGTTGCAGACTAAACTTGTCTACTGGGGGTTTTCGAACTCATCATCGTGTCTCCTGGGGGTTTTCGAACACATCATCATGTCTGGCGAGCTCACAGAAACGTTTAAACGCCTGGCGAGACGCCATTTGATGGTCATTTGAGTCACCATGACTGATCAATTGCGCCAGTCGTTGCCAGTCTCCTCCAGTGATATAGGCTCTTATTATCCCTTCAAAGAAAATAAATTTACCCCATTGTTCAATCCAATATTTAGTATCAGGCATGTAATTTTGGGTTATCTGTTATAGGATATTCCTCCGGGAGCAAAGGTGGAGTACCAAGTTACCACTCTGACAGAACAAACCATAAGATTCTTACCTTAGTGTTGTCTTTCAAAGCATTTTGTACATTTTCTACCACAGTACAGTCAATAAATGATATTTCTAAACCAAATTTAGAGGCACATTGACTGAAATATCTGTTAGTTCCTACAAAACAATACATGAATGAAAACAACTACTGTATATTTCTGAATATAATACCCAGTTTTTTTTACCCCAAAATGGGCCCTTTCACAAGGGGTGCGCATTATACACAGTGAAATAAATTTTGAATTTTTATTTTTTACATGAAAACATATCCATATTGCCGATATATGTTTCAGATAAACAATCTTCATCAGGTCAGCTTTATTTGAAAACATTCTTAAATTGGACTGGAGGCTATTCAAAATAATTCTATTCATCTTTTGACTTCACAAATATTAAGCCACTTTTGTATCTCGAATTCTTCAAGATGAAATTTGATTTGGATTTTCTTTTTCAGCAAAAACAGACAAATGTGTTTTTTCTACCACCTGATATTTCCCTATTTATACATACACATTAACAGCTGGGTTGACTGGAATTATGAGGAACGATACTTATTAACAATCATCAGACATTCACCAAGATCAAAACCCATGACAACCTGATTGAAATCATAGATAGTGAAACCAAAAGATTCAAAACACATAAATAATAGAACATACCTCCGTAAACATCATCAATACTAATAATATGATCACCAGCTGATAATAAATGAGTCACTGTTAGGGTAGCAGCTAATCCAGATGATGTACAGATACCTATAAATAAATATAATGTTTATGTTTGAATATTTCAGAAGAAATCTTGGTGAAAGATCAACTGATGCAATGCGTGTAAGAAACTTATATTTCAGCATTCAGTTCGCGAAAAGAGGCAACAGTTGTGACAGGAGCACTTGTGGCTGCTTTACCATGAGAACGTGCTTGCCCTGAGCATCCAACACTTCCTCCTAGTAGCTGAAAAAAACATTGCTGTGCTGGAGCAACCTCCAAACTTATCCTGTGATTTTTTCCCTTTCACCAAGAGCAAGCGTATCATCAAGGGGATATGTGGACGACATCAAGAAGGCAATGCCAACAGGATTGAGGAGAATCCCAGAGTGCATCCCAGAGAAGAATGGGATTGTGGGTAAAACTCCGGGGGAATAACTTTAATGCTGAAAACTAATAGTTTGTGGTTTGAATTCGAAATTAATCTGTTGTGCAGACACCCGATTTTTCTGCCACACCTCATATACAAATACGCTGGAGTCTAATGATGCCTTCAGCTTTTATTCCACAAGGAAAATATGGAAAGAAAGAACTATATTTTACAAGGATAACAACTTAAGTTCACATTTAAGGATCCTTTCTACAAGCTGGTCTTTGGCCAAACCTCTTAGCATTGTTCTTTCCTGGATTATCCGTACCCATTTACAGCTGGGTCGACTGGAAAATGGCGAAACAATTAGCTATGTGGAAAATAAATAAATAAGCCAAAAATCACTTAGTTGTATTTAGCGTATTGGAAGAGTACACATGCCATGGTTGTATGACCCACTAAAATAATTATTATAGTAGAGTTTTAGGTACATACCATGTTTTCCACCCTCTATAGCAGCTAAACATTTCTCTAAACATTGTCTGGTTGGATTACCACTTCTAGAGTACTCAAACCCCTAAAATATAAATATCACTCAAAATCAAGATACTTCTACCTTATTTCATAAGGATTAAAGATGGGTTTCTGCATTTTTTTAGTTTGAATCCAGCAACCTAATTGATGAATTGGTGTTTCTAATGAATTATCAAGTTGATTAAGGGGTCAATTTGCCTTGCAAACTGCTATGTGTTACTGCTAGAATTGAACCAACTAAATAATAGTTTGTATATACTATAATAAATAATCAATATGTAATGAAATATTTATATTAAATATCTTTTAACTGTAAGAAGATGTAATGGTAATGCTCAAGAACAATTGGCCTTTGAAAAGAGTTGATCAACAAAATAACTTTGGATCAAATATTGCAATTGATTCTGATATGATACATGATATTGAAACCAATTCTGATATGATACATGATATTGAAATCAATTCTGATATGATACATGATATTGATACATGATATTGAAAGCAATTCTGATATGATAAATGATATTGAAAGCAATTCTGATATGATACATGATATTGAAACCAATTCTGATATGATACATGATATTGAAAGCAATTCTGATATGATACATGATATTGATACATGATATTGAAAGCAATTCTGATATGATAAATGATATTGAAAGCAATTCTGATATGATACATGATATTGGAAGCAATTCTGATATGATACATGATATTGGAAGCAATTCTGATATGATACATGATATTTCTAGTACTTCTGAAGACTATTTACATATATTCAAGACTCAAATCAATCCCTCAAAATGGTACACATGTGCCTTTAAACATACATATACATAGGGCATTGACTTCCAATCCTAATCTCTACCAATAGGTCTGTGGTATCAAAAACCAACAAGAATTATTTTGCCTTTATTGCTATCAAAATTATGAGAAGAAAATGCTATCTAAAAAGGCAAATATCACGGCTATTGTTTTGCCTGTGTTTGCAAATGCAGAAATCATATGAAATAGTCCACTAAATGAAAAGAAAGCATGCCAGGCAAGGTTACCTACAACCCACTAGCAGTTGTCAGAAATAATAACAGGGTTTTTATCAACTGTTCTCATATGAAAGAACTTGCATTTGTAGTTTATAAAACATTGAAAGTATTGATATCTCAATTCATATCATCATACTGACTTTTTCTTATTCCAAATCAATAGCAATAACCTAAATACATATGTATATATATTGGATATGCCAAAGTTCAACAGGTAATATCTTAGCTGTTGGTAAAATGATCTCTTTCAAAAACTGTGAACTCTATAATGTCTTAATAAAAGTGGACAGCACCATAAACTGATAATAGTCGCGTGAATTTTTTTGTACTTGTCAAGAAGAATTGGGCATGTTTGAGATTTGAAATTGGAGGAAATGGTGGAAAGTTATTTTTCTTATGTCATGTATTATAATGATGGAAAAAAGCAACAATTCAGCAAAACAAAATGAAATGAATAGAGTTTTATGTCCTACTTTTCTGCACCTGATTGGACTAAAGACGTTCAACGGTATGCTATTAGGGAAATTTTACCAGACCAGTCACATAAGACTACTCTTTTATGATTTCCAACTGTCAAGGGACCTTTAAGTTGGACAGCCTGTAGCACACAGGGCCTCGGTTTATTGTCTTATCTGTACCACTAGAAGGTTTTTCCCATGAACAATTCAGTGAAGAAAGACAGATAAATTAATTAAATTAGAATTTTTCCGCTCAATTTTGAAAAGATATTTGAGGATAAATTTGGTGACATAAAAGAAGATTTATAATACAGATAAGGTACATTCTTCTTATCAAATACTATGTTATGAATTTAAGTAGATCAAATTACATACTATAAAATCTGTGCTTTACTAAACTACATTTTTATCATATCACATGTCCATGATGAAATTTCTCTTTTTCAAGACACTTAAAGGAACTGACCCAAACTGTTATGAAATCTGTGATAGACAATTGATAAGAATTGAGGCTTAAACAGGCCATTAAGATGAAAATCACGCCTGGATAGCCATAGCTTACTTACCTGCAGTTTTTAACTGATAGTTATGAAACTTGGTATTCATGCATGTATATATTAATGGGGTCTTGATCAAGTTCGAATCATTGGGGGAATAGGTTTTAAGTCATTGCCATTGACCATTAAAAATTTACTGATTGGGCCTTGAATATATATATATAAAGTCTTCAGAAGTACTAAAAATGTACGAAAATTGCATAATTCCTTCAAAATATCTCGAACTTGGAATTTCTTGTCCTATTTCTATCTCACGACTCGTCTTTTTAACTATCAAAGGCAGATAATTCTCAACACACACACAATTGTAGGCAAAAATTTTGATGCTGTAAACACAATTACTGATTGGCTCACCTAAAAACATTCAAAAAGGCTTTTGAGTCACTGCTTCCATGATTAAGTCATATTATGCTTGTACAGGCAACAAGTTTTATCTGATCTTGAAATGCATAAGAATATTGATGATGGCTCAGTCAACTTGTGATGACTTTTGGATGAATAGAGAGTTCATGACAAGATAGGTGCTTTAGTTGGTGAAACTTATACGCTTAGTCATGCTGATGATATCATTGTCAAATTCAATATTGTCAATATTTCGTTTAACATTTATTTTATTATTAAAGATGGGTTTCCTTTTTTTTTAGTGTCAAATTAAGACAATTTGATTGGTGTTTCTATTGAATTATCATGTATTCTTAATTTTATCATAGAACTATAATATATTACACTTCTATGATCTTATCATTATAAATCTTATTGCATATAATTAAGAATTTTAACCAATCATCAATGTCCATGTATGTACTGTCTGGATAAACAAAAAAAAGACAATTTTGACCTTTCTTGATCAGTCTCTCATTGGAATTCTGCTGGTAATTTTCTTCTAATTTAGCTCATTATGAATTGATTATGAACATGTGAGACAAACTGGTATTTTTCCAAGTCATTAGAACACATGCCCATGGGGCTAATATAATGAATAAATTAAAAAAAAACACAATACTTCGATGTACAACAATCTGTTTAGCAAATACACGTCTACTTGTGTATTCTATCTAACTTTCAAACGCTGATAATTCTGGACATACATGGATTTGAAGGGTAAAATTTTGATGGGAACTGTAAACGCTATTACCTGAGATTAAGGTATGATTGGTCAAAAAAATGACACACCTGTCCCTTTAACAAGTTGTAAATAGAAATTAGTGAACTTGTGCTATCCTGGAAGAAATTTAACATATTGCATACTACAAAGCATAGTAGTAGCAGGAGAAGAAAAGTGGAATGTCAAACTTTGATTTAATTTCATTTTGTAAAAATTGAAAGATTATCAAATCTTTCCTGTAGGCTACAATTTTAATCTTGCTTGGATAAAACATTGTCATTTGGCAATCAATATAACACTGTAATACTTAATGATACATAATTAATCATAAGTAGATACAGTGGTGTAACCTATTTTCGTGGATATAAGGATTCAACACCGACTTTCGTCAAAGTTAAAAAAAACAAAAAAAAAATTTTGTATATCAATATTCACTATTTCAAGCGACAAAATACTCTAGATTATAAATTCAACTCACAGCATGTTCAGCAGGAGCAGTCTGTTTAAATGTCGATGACATTGAAATTGGTGGACAGACTGCCATGGATTTCCATTGTTCCGGTTCTTGTCCAGCATGGATAGCATCGGTAGCAAATCCTGGAAAGGGTTTAAAATTTTCTGCTGCCATCCTGTTCGAGTGATGAAATAGTAAAGAAAGAAATGTAACAGGCGACCTTGACCTAAGCTTTATTGACCGGATTTTACAACGTAATCCTAACACACTTGTTGACATTTTCTGAAGTTTTCCATGAATTACAAGGATTGTCAAAAAATGTGAATGATGTAGCACTTTCTATCCAATGTTTATGTAGCCGATTTGAAGTTTGTACTTAAATTCAGAAGCTTCAAAATATGTAAATAACTGAAGGCAAAAATGCGGTAGGCACCTCATTGCGAATATGTACTTTTATAAGATGTGAAAGATAACTTAAAGGGACAAGTGTGGCATTTGAGTTGAGTCTTGAATATATGTAAATAGTCTTCTGAAATACTAGAAGTGTACGAAAATCACAGAATTCCTTTAAAATACTTCAATCTCGGAATTTTACTCATTAGGCCTGTATGTGATGAGACATCATAATGCAGATAATTATGGACACACATGGGTTTCAAGGCTCAAATTTCGACGATGAGCTGTGAACACTATTACTGATTGGCTCAGTTTAGTAAAATTCCAGTTTCAAAGACTAAAGTATGATGGGTCAAAAAATGGCCTACCTGTCCCTTTAAAATATTATAAATTCAGACCACATTATGTCACCACATTGGAAAATAGCAACATGAATTATGAATACTGATAATAACCAGACAATTCACTCAAGCCAATTATTTGCCTTTCTAAATTTGTCAAGGAGTTATAAGTTTATGAGATGATTTATTATAGAAATGACACTGGATAGTAGATAGGCTACATATATGAAGCACAATATATTATCATAAATAAAATGAATGGAGTTTTACATCCTACTTTTCTGCACCATGTGAGCTAATGAAGACAGGCAGGGTGCAATGAGGGAAATTTTGCCAGGACGTCAGCATTACCGTGATCTTTTTATTTTTACAGCTTGTAGCACACAGGGCCTCAGTTTATTGTCCTATCCAAACCACTAGATGTTTTTTCCATGTAGGTCCCTTTTACCTACAGCACTGACAGTGGGAAACCGGGTTGAAAAATCCAAAGGTATTATCTTGACCTATGCCGGGATTGAATCCTGGACCTTCAGGTAAGCAAGCAAGCATCTAACTCTCCAAGCCACCGTGGCTCCTTATCAATGGAAAAAAAGACAAATTATCAATTATCTTAGTTTACAAACCCATCAGTTCAGCTATCTTGAACATTTGGGATCTAGAAACAGAAACAGTCCTTTCATTAACCTATCGTGTGTTATTTGTGATGCAATATTATATTTGGGTCAAAATTCAAATATTTGGACATTTGGACCACAAAAACAGTGTGTATCAAATCCCGGATTTGGTCAGTAGCTACAGGGGGACAATGCTTTTAAAAATTAATTCATTATGGACTTTCAATTCATATTTTTTTTAAAGTGTCCTTCGCTGTGCATATTATCTGAGTTGAACTAATTAATAATTATTAGGTAATAATGACAATAGTACATTTATTATAATAACAAAATAATATCTACATCATTTCATTTCATATTAAATTGTAGCAATTACATATAAATAGATGATAATTATAATATTTCATTGTCATATAATATAATTTTCAAAGGAATACAATCCTTATTTTTTCATTAACTCATTACACATTGGCTGTTTGTACCATCATGATGTATGTTCTCTACAGCTGCTAACAACAGTACAGATAAGATAGGACACAATAAGAACCCTTGTTTTTTAAAGCGCGAAGCCATTTTGATTGTCAAGAATGATATTAAAGTGATACTACGTCATATAAGGATCCTGTTATGTTATTTATGACACCAGGTATATCTACTGATGAATATATGCTCTTTTTGGCCCAGTTTAAAAACTTTAAATTTAATGTTTATTCTAAGACGTAGTATCCCTTTAAGTGACTTTGTTAGGGTTAGGAAGGGATGGCCATATGTTTTTTAAGGCCCATTTTTGTGCGAATAGCCACAGCCTTTATTTCAAGCAGTTAACAAGAATCATATGGGAACTAGAGCACTTTTCTTCACTCAACCTAAATCATAAGAGATGCAATTTAGAGTTTTTTTGGATCCAAGTGTTTCTAATGCTCAACTTTAATAGGCTATAGATAAATTTACATTAAAATGCTAGGTTAAGTAGATAATTTCTTAAGACCACTTAATCCATTCATGTGTGCTGGACAAAATTTAGCTGAATAACTTTCTTCACTCAAAAACTTAGGTCGGCACCATCATTTTAACATTAATCTCAGAAATGGATCATATTAATTTTACTTGATAATTCTTCTTCTAGTAATGACTGAAAAAATAACAAACTTATGTATAAGATAATGTTGTAATATGGAAATGTATCCCACAAAGTATCTGAAAGTTTTATCCAAAAAAATCCAGCCGTTAATTTCTTTACGTAATCTATTAATGTTTGTTATGCTTTTTGCAAGCTGCTCTCAGTTTCTAACTAACCCTTTTAAAACAAATTCATCATTGATCAAGTAGATACATAGATATAAATAGCATACTTTAAAAATATTTTCAGGTATAATTTACGATATTTTTGATAATGAAAATGTTATACAAAAAAAGCAGAATGCCCCTTTAAATTTTGTATTGTACATACCACTTGTCTTCTCAATTCTTCTATTTTGACTCTAGCTTGTGTCAGATCCTACAAAGTGAAACATTTCATTTTGACAGACCCAAACTATGTATGGCTATTGACAACTTACTAATCACAAAGATTTGGCATCAAAAATGCACCAAATTAATTATTTTTATATTATAATTGTTGATGCTCCACCATTATGTCTGGTATAATGAGTATAATATAATACAAGAGAGGTTACTTACTGGAGGTAGATCATGGTAACTTTGTAATTTACTTTTTAATGGTGTTATCTTCTGATGTAAAGCCTGAAGATCCTATAAAATATTAAAATAAATCAAGTATTAACACTTTTAATACTTTTCACTGTCAAGAGTGATTCTTAAATTCCAAAAGAAATTTTGAAATTCATCCACAATCACGTGAACTTAAAAGATGTAATTTGTTTACAGCCGTTTACAGTAAGTGGCCCTTACTTCATAACCTTGAGAGTTGCATATGGTAGCCAATAAGAATAGCGGTCATAAGATTCGAACACAACTCTCATGTAACTGAGTTATGAGTTGTATTAAGAATCATTTCATTATTCACAATCATACACAAGAGGTAATCACTATGGTGTGTGGCATCTTGAAGTTTTTTTTCTGCCAATAAAACTTACCTCTGATTTTTTGACTAATGTTTTATGATATATTTCTGGTGTAACATTTAACTTGACTAGCTGACCCTGTAATATTAATATATACACAGTTATTTTTAATGAACACTGGCCATTAATGCCAATGTGTAGTTGAAAGTAAAGAAACTTTATGGGTCACTTAAGGGGAGACAGATTAAAAAAATCAGAAAAGGATAATGACCAAGGATAAGGATGGACCAAGAAAGGGAATGATCTTTTTTTGCACATGTCAAATTTACCCCCCTGGATGGAATTTAGACTAAAAAAATTAAATTATTCAGTGCTGAAGGAATTTTTCTTCAAACGTTGTTGAATCATTTTCAAGGAAACAATATATTTTGATGGCTAAAATGTTGTGGTATTTTGACTTTTTTCGCACTTGAAAAATAAAATTGCAGAAAAAGGGTGATTTGCTGCTATACTACAGGAAGACTCATTGCCAAGAGGGGATCATAAAATACAGATGTATCTTTCATTTGAAAATCAACAAACTTTTCATATTCGTGATTCCAGAAAATTTAAAAAGCCTGACCATACACATCACAAAAAATCTAACAAATGAATGTGAAGGAGGATACCTGGTGTTTCTGTATTAGTTTTTTGTATTCTAAAGCTTTATTTCTGAGAAATCCAGTTTGTTCAAAGTGACTTTCAATCTTGGGTTTCTGTATGCCTCTTTGTTCTTCCAATGTTTCAAGAGCCCTGAAATAAATTTTATTGTTTTAGAAGAGTCCAACTAAAAGGTGCAAGTGCGACATATCCGGGTGTTGATATGTACCTTGAATATATGTAAATAGTCTTCAGAAGTACTAAAAATGTCTGAACTAGGAATTTCTTTGCCTATTTCTATACATTTCTTTTTTTATAAATGGCAGAGTCTCAAGAAAAGGCAACTCTTTTTTTTCAAACATGGATAATTCTGGACACACATAGATTTGTAGGCTCAAATTTCATTGGTGAGCTGTAAACACAAACACTGATCGGCTTAGCTAAAGAATTCCAGTTTCTGAGACTAAGGAATGATTGGTCAATAATGATATACCTGTTCCATTGAAGTAGATTTTTATCTTAATACATTAATGTATATATATATATCATAAAATTTAAAATCAGAGTTTCACATTGTGTTAATTATTTAAGCCTGTTTACATATTTCTGTATTTTTGAATAACATTGTTATTTTTGCCTTTTCATATATCATGTTTTACATGTAAAACTGTTATTATTGAGTGGTTAAAAGAGACTTTGATCTCAAACTATCAAGGTAATTTATTGTCACCAATCACTGATGAGGAACTGCCAAAAAAAAGAAAAAATTGAACTAAAACAAACAAGTGTTCATTCAGTGAACAGTTTTGATACAAATTATAATGTTCTGAATAATCATCTATACTTACTTATGTAATGAGTTATATTTAATTAAAGAAGTTCTGGTTTTATTAAATAATTCAGATATCAATTTCCATTCTATTTTTCTATCATCTTCTAATTTAGTTTCTTGATCATGTAAATTCTGTAAACCTAAATAATAGCTGAAACAAAAATAAGATATCATATGTCTTACATAGAAAATTAGTTAAATAAGCACACATAGGTGACAACAAATTTCATTAAGTTTTTAAAGAAATTGGAAAGATTTTTTTCACAACTTATAATGTGTATTTGGACAATTTAAAGCTTATATTTGCATCACTCTAACTGTCTGTCTGACTATCTGTGGTTCCTGTAATTATTGTTAACCATATAATACATAGCTAGACCTATACAATGGCTTTGTCATTAAACATTTAGTTTAAAAGGAATTACAAGATCCACAGATGACTGAAAATTGGAATGGTGCAATCAATGCTATCAGTGTCTCCTATACACATACAAAGTTTAGTTAATTCCCTTACAATCACTTTAAGTATGAACCATTGTTTAAGCATCATTATATGATTCATTTTACCTTGTATCAGTCGTGTCTTTTATCTGTAGTAATAATGCTAAATTAGCTAATGTTCTGAGACTTGTGACACCAGATTGTGATAGGGAGGCTGGTGTTAACTTAATACCTTCTACTATTTTACCAATTCTTTTACCTGAAAAATTATAAAGATGATGGAGAAGTGCCAAGAGCAATAGTGTGAAGATGAAGAAGAGGTATAAAGATGAGGAAGAAGTATAAAGATGAGAAAGAAGTGTACAAATGAGGAAAAATGTAAAGATGAGGCAGAACGAGGAAGATGTCTAAAGGTGAGGCAGATTGAGGAAGAAGTCTCAAGATGAGAGCAGAACGAGGAAGATGTCTAAAGATGAGAGCAGAACGAGGAAGAAATCTAAATATGAGAGCAGAACGAGGAAGAAATCTAAATATGAGAGCAGAACGAGGAAGAAGTCTAAGAAGAAGTCTAAAGATGAGGTAGATCTACAAAGAAGTCTATAGTTGAGAGCAGAACGAGGAAGAAGTCTATAGTTGAGAGCAGAACGAGGAAGAAGTCTATAGTTGAGAGCAGAAAACAATGAAGAAGTCTTAAGATGAGAGCAGAATGAGGAAAAAGTCTAAAGATGAGACAGATTGAAGAAGAAGGCTAAAGATGAGAAGGCTAAAGATGAGGCAGATTGAAGAAGTCCAATGATGAGGCAGATTGAGGAAGAAGGCTAAAGATGAGGCAGGCTAACGATGAGGCAGTTTGAAGAAGTCCAATGATGAGGCAGATTGAGGAAGAAGTCCAATGATGATGCAGATTGAAGAAGAAGTCTAAAGATGAGAGCAGAATGAGGAAGAAGTCCAATGATGAGGCGGATTGAGGAAGAAGTCTTAAGATGAGAGCATGAGACAGATTGAGGAAGAAGTCTAAAGATGAGACAGATTGAGGAAGAAGTCTAAAGATGAGACAGATTGAGGAAGAAGTCCAAAGATGAACCAGAAGGAGGAAGAAGTGAGGGTTATCCATACCATCAATGTTATACTCTTCAGCTTTTTGATTGTGATCTTCAACTATCAATTTAGCATCTCTATCTTTTACTCTATTAGTTTTCATTAAATCATGTAAAATACTCAATGTTCTTTTATTTAATTCAAACTGTGGTATAGATTCTCCACCAAATATCTCTTCCAGCCAAACTTGAACCTGAAAACATATTTTAGAATATAAACTGATTCGTTTATGCACATCAACTTGAAAACTGCCAGGAGCTGTGCAAAAATAATGGACATTTTTTCTTGAGTTCTTGTTTCTCAAAATAGTTGTGAGACTTTCAGGTTGTTTCCTGATCGTTTCACGTTTTCGGTTTATGTTTACGGTAATGATCATATTCCTAATGGATCATAGTCAAACAAAGACTCCAAAGACGAGTACTGTTTCCAAGAAGGCTTATAAATATGTATGTTGACAAGGTGAGTGAGAATGAGAGAAGCACTCTCTCTGTAAAATCAACGTCGAATTACCAACAAACGTGCGAATTTATGAAAAACATGATAACCTCTTGATGAATCTCATTCATATTTTCCAGTCGACAAGCCATAGTACTGTATTATTTCATTGAAATTTTAAAAAAAAGAAAGCCCACTTATTTCCAATCAAAAGTTCCTCCAAATATTGACAACAACCTTCACCTTAAACTCGGTGTTTAAGCAGTTAGGCCTAGATAAAAATCTGTCTGAAATTAGTATTTCAAAAATTAATAAAGATGAAATTTGTTACTTATACATCGCTCGTATTATGGTTAGGTTGTGAGCATCTTGGAAAGTGGTGACACTCCTATGCAATTATAGTCTGACTGAAATTCAGAAATCAAAAAATAAATACTAAAGAATTCATGAAATTTTGTATGCTATAAAGCTTGCCTTATCACCTACTTTCTAATGCGCAGAAGCAGAGCGCACCGACCGGAAGCAAACTTAGAACACGTTAGGCCAACTTTGAAAAAAGAGTTATTTCAGAAAAGAAATGTTACAGAATTTGGCATTATATTGGAGTGATCATTAATTTACAAGGATGGTCCGTCTAACTGCTGAACTGATAGAACAATCAGCACAGTACACAAACCCAGTCCGGGACAGAGAACTTGATTTAAGAGGTGAACTTCTTTTGTTTTGAAATTTAAATAAATAGTAATTCAAATAGTCCGAATGATTCTTTCCCTTATATTTTAGGCTCAGACAAATATTCATTTTTATTACCTTGGCTATTACCATTTATTCATAAAACACAAATCTTTTCTCCCTTATATAATATGTTATCTCTTTCAATGTTGCATACGGACAAGCTAGTTAAAATCATACCCTAACTCTACGTCTACTCAGGCTCTAGGGTTTTTTGTTTACACTGTGTAGACAAGATTAATGGTCAAATTGTGAAGTTATGTTCATTTGGATTGATCTGTAAGAAGTGAAAATTAATCAAATTTTCTCTGCCATTTTCCTGAAAGCCATCATTGTTTGATGGTCCAGGTCATGAACTTTCAAAGCAATTGACATCCAGTAACTTTAGATCTGTCGTATTTTGCCAGTTTGTTCGAGCATTGTTGATGATTAGAAAGAATTTTTAAAGCTATACCCCCTGTGCCACATTTATATCCATTTGAGGTTTTGGTCGGTAGGTAACCTTGTAAAGCTGTAACGGCATATCTATTATCTAGACTATCATTTATAAAGCTTACATGAGATTGAAAATTTCATATTTCAGGATATAGAATACCAGTTTTAGAAAATTTAGGTGCTACTTTAGTAAGTATGCTCATAATAGTTTTTCTTCATAATAGAAACTACAGGTTTTATCAGATTTTGATCATGAAATAATAGACCTTTTCACTGTTCAAATGTTGCCCACTACTTCTACACTACTGTAGTCTAATATAGAAATATTAGAACAGAATCCATTTACTGATTGGCACATTACAAACTGGGGAATGAAAAGTTTCGTTTAAGAAAATATATTTGCGAAGCCCTTGTATAGATGTATGTGTTTCAACAGCTTCAGATAGGCTTATTTGTGAGATTTTTTTTTATTCGTGAATTAAATTTCTTGGATTTGTGTTTTAGAAATATCTCTTTATTTCAGGATCAGTTTGATACCATTGATTTCTCAGACAATGACATCAGAAAACTGGATGGTTTTCCTTTATTAAAAAGATTGAAGAATTTATTATTTAACAATAACAGAATAGTGTAAGTATAGTAAATAGCAGAATTATTGTTCTTGACTTAATTAATATTTTGATTAGGAAGTTTTAGTCATATTAAATACAGACAGCCACTTGCCATTGCAAAAACCTCTTCTACCCTCTAACTCTTTTAGTTGGATTCTGCTGAATTTTGTTCTTGATGTAAATTGGAATATCAGCTTAAAGATACTTATCGAATATGCCCCAAATTTTGTCTGAAATTGCCCTCTATGAAAACAAATTTCAGAGTAATATACCTTCTCATATTTATATGTTATCAACACCAAAGCATTTTAAGATTATCATTAAAGCTAGTAGTTGCTCACATTGGAAAGTAAACAAAGTCCCCTGTGTGCTTCGGGCTATTCACTTTGATCATGCCTCTAGTTTGACATTAAGACCATTCCAGTTATGAATTTGACCAATAGGCCTACTAGTTATCCGAGTTAGAGGCATTAATTTAATTGAAGTGTATCAAGACTCACCAGTATAATTGTGTTTATTTGTAGACGAATAGGTGATGATCTAGAACAGTCTATACCTAATCTAGAATCTTTAATATTGACTAACAATGGTTTACAAGAATTAGGCGATCTAGATTCTTTATCATTATTACCCAACTTGGAACATTTAAGGTGAGTTTCAATATATTAATTTGAAGAAGGTGGAAACAGAATTGAAGTTCTCTCTTTAAGGATTAGCTGTAGCGCAGTTGGTTAGAGCATTGCAATTTCATGGAGTGTATTTATTTTATATGTGAAACCACAAAACCTTGAATGTCTGTCTGTGGATCAGAAATAACATGCTTTTTGCAAATATATAGTTAACTATAGAAATGGATAGTTTGATTAATTGAAATTCAAGTGTAGCATTACAAAACTTTAAATGGTGTAACTAGCTTTCTGTCTTTGTTTTAGTTTATTACGTAATCCTGTAACAACAAAGAAAAACTACAGATTTTATGTCATTCATAAAGTACCTCAAATTCGTGTTCTTGACTTTCAAAGAATCAAATTAAAGGTAAGAAAGATATTTTACCATTGGTAGCATTAGCTTAGATTAGTGTAGCATATTAACTTGCTTACATGGAGACATGGAGTTTTAACATGGCATCCTGTCGGCCTCTTTGATTTATTTTTATTCGAATTTTGACAGGATTGGTAGTAGGGTAACACAGCTGATTTGAAATCATCGGTTCCCCTCAATTTAGAAAGGATATTATTTCTGAGGAATTATTGCCTTAAGTAAACCTATAGCAGAATTGCTGTTGAAAACTAGTCACTTGCCCATCACAACTGTTCAGTCTGTAATCTGTCACTGTCTGAGTAGGTGAACATACTGGTAGTCTTTCGACACAACTTTCGCCAATTTTGTTATGGTCTGTGAGTTGAACATTGACTCAGCCAGGAAAGACTGACATCTTGCCCAATAAATGTTGATCTTGATTAATATACATGGGTAACTAGCAGTATTTTAGCCCTGAAGTCGATGAGAGACTGGTGATTAGTATTGAACTTTGAATATAGAAATTGTCATTTACAAATTTATACAGCTCTAAGATTGTTTTTCAGGAAAGACAAGCAGCAACTAAATTATTTAAAGGAAAGAAAGGCCAACAATTAGTACAAGAATTAGGAAAAAGAAGTAAAACATTCACAGTCATTGATAAACTACCTGATAAACGTGGTGTTAGTAATGGTCCATCTAAAGAAGAAATAGAATCAATCAAGGTAAATAAAAGAGGCTTTGGTTGATAAAGTTATCTCCTGGCAAAATTTATCTCATTGAGCACTGCATGGCGTGGCTTTTCTTCAATAGCCCAATAAATATTTGCAATTTGTTATGAATCATTATGTAATATGATGATTAATTCCTCTACCGGAAAATAACAGTGATCTGCCTGATGAGTCAATGGTAACACTGACACAGGCACCTTTGTTAAATCAAGATAACTTTTTTGTTGTCAGTTTCATTCTGATCTGTTGTATTTGAAATTCATTATTAACTTTTATTTTGTAGAAAGCAATAGCTAATGCTAAAAGTTTAGATGAAGTTGAAAGACTCAATCAGATGTTGAAGTCTGGTCAGGTGCCTGGAAAAGAAGTTAATGGTAAACGAAGAAAAGGTCAGTACTTAGTTTTAATTTAATGTTATAATGATAAAAAATAATTACATGTATACAGAGGTATTGGTTTATAAAAAATTACATGATGAAACATAATGTTTATTGAATCAGCATAGATGATTTAATTTTGGATTGTGTTCAATTATATGCGTATTGCTAAATAGCTAATATACACTAAATGATATTTTTTTTTGAAGTATATCGTAAATCCAATTGATAGTTATTATATTGTTATACCTTTTATTTTCAGGTTAGAAAGAAGCTGCACTGATGATTTTAATTAGACCTCTCCCCTTATGTTCACATTCGTTCAATTCCATTACCTCCTCTTACTTACATCTGAAATGAATTTAGACTGCTTGAACATAACATTTTAATATTGTAAATAATACACACTGGTCTATGTCTTGAAGCTAATAAGACTTTGTTTTTTAATTTTCTGACATTATATGTTTACAGGCAATGAAGAAGAGGAAGAAGAAGAGATGGACATGTAAATGTTTTGTTTGACAGCATATGTAAATAATTTTCATCCAACAGACTTATTTACATCATTTTCTTTTCAGCCATTTTTCTCTGAAGTACTGCAATACATTGGGATAGCTCTTTGTATAATAGATATGTATTGTTTTTCTTATTGGTAGTTCCATTTCCAATTGCTGTATATGTTGAACAATTTATCTTGTTATCATTATGAATGAAAAACATCTCTCAAAAAGCAGCGAGGGCCTTGAAGCTTAAAAAAGTTTTTACTTCCACCATCGTGTGCATGTAGGCGATCTTGATATGGAAATAATCCCTATCAAGTTAAGTATTCAAACTGAATTATAGCCGAATATTCTTATTGGAAAATAGCAGTATCTAGAAACTGTGTTTTAGTTGGGCCATCTTTTGTACTTAAGTTGGAAATGGAACTTTCAATATTTCAGCTTAAAATCTTAAGATCAGAAATAAGCTGATAAGAATATGATATTTTGAACTACACAATCAGGTTTATCATATATTTTGTTGTAAATATTACTTGTTATTCAAAATTTTGTAGTAAATAAAAAGGTGGAGAAGCTTATATCATGTTCTTAAATGAAAGGTCCGCCCATACCATTGAAATAATCAGCTTGTATGAAGACAGGCAATCCTGTGTAATAAAGGAAATCTGCCTGGATGGAGGCATAAATTACTCTTAGAGGTTGAGGGCACACAACAGCACATTAATTGCCGATAGGATTTTAACAAGCTAGTTATATTTGTCAGATATGGTGCCATATTTGATGTAATGTGTCATGTGACTTGGTGATATTTTACGCATGATAAAATGAATATAGAATGACTGATTGGATGATGACACTCTGTAGAATTTGTCTTGTCGATGATTATTTTCTACAAGTGCTCGCACTTGCGAAGAGATGAGATCCACAGAGCATTATCATTCAATCAGAGTCATTCTATATTTATTTATCAAGTGTTGAATTAATGTCACATGACATCACAAAATAACAATAGATTTGTTTTTGTCTCCTTTTACAGCTGTCAGTGAAATTCTTGACAAGACTCTAATCTGCTATAAATGTTGTCAGTTGCCCCATTGATTTGCAACAGTACTGTTAATATTTTCTACTCAAAATCAGACTAAACTAGCCCTTCTTCTATCTGAAATGTCCTCAACTGAATACATGTATGCTTGATTGGTGAACACGTTTGGAATCAATCAAACAAGTTAAAGTAAAGTTTAAAACGCTAAAATAATTGTAGGTGCAGACAGAATTCAAAATGGCAGAGAAGAAAATAAGATGCAAAAATTTTGAAAGTGACATATCTGTTTCCATACCATTTGATTGGGAGCAAAATAGGAACATACAGATTCTGTTCAGAATACTCTAATTGAGCGTCACCCTGGGGTGATACTTGAATATTCTAAAGGTTGGAAGAAGAAAAAACACAAAACAATAATTCAAACATATTTATTCCACGCGTTCTGTCAAACAACCAGACTCTGAAACAACATTAAAACAATACTTCATGTAGCTTGAGTCTTGAATTTCAAGCCTGAAACTGAAAACCACTTTCCAAATTACAATTAATTTACTATTCACAAAAATAGAAACTTATTTCCAACAATGGCAAGAAATAACAAAAGTTTTTTTAACAATTCATCAATTTCATCCAGATTTGTTTGAGGACAAAATGTCATAAAACTGCTCTGGAAAAGTGGACCATAGTTTACTCCATATTGTTCTGTTGTTTCACTGGTAATAACTGAACTCTTTCATAATGACAATAACAATCATAACTAATAAACTATCAATCTAGATGTTTTCATTATATATGTTGCAGCATAAAATACAGTAATTAAAAAAACCAATGCAGATTTCTTAAATGAAATTTTCAAGCGATTGAAACCACTTCTTAACCACAAAAATTTCACTTAATATGTTTTAACTTACTTTACTTACTAGCTGTTAGTCAAATGTCACATGATCAAGAAATTCTTAAATGAAATAAATTTTCACTTCATAGAAAATTTAGTCAATGCTGATTGGATGAAAAAGTGGACTAGATTCTAAAGTAATGATTAGATCGACGATCAGAATTATAATTTCAGGAAAACAGAGTTTCTGACACATGTACAATAAGATCTTACAACTTAATAACAATTTAGCATTAATAATCTCTCCAACCAAATTTTAAAAACATGATGGATTTTCTGGCACCAATATATATATATGTTGATGAATTTGAAAGATTTTGATTTAGAGAAAATAATCAGACAATATAAAATATTACATTATTATTGACATATTTTACCTTCTTTTATAGGGGCATTTTGCTTTTGTAGGTCTAAAACTGTTTTAGCTGAAATTTATGAAAACTTTACACCAAAATCTAGAAAAACATGTCATGTAACATATCTTCAAGTTTTAACTAAATTGTTAAGTTTTTAAACTCCATAACTATTCAAACACATTACATAAGCTTTTTCAATTTGTTATGTTTTTTGGTAAAAAAACTACTGTATAGATTTGAAAATGACAATTTTGCAAACGACCCCTTTAACTAAGCCTATATTCATTATTGATCTGAGATTAATAACAGGAAAATAGAAAACAGTATCAATATAAAGTACATGTTGTATATGTTAATAACATTGAAAAAATATGAACCTACCAAACTTTATGCACCTGAGATACATTAACATTTGGTATTATATACGAAATTAAATCAGTATCTATCAATTAACTCTAAGTAATTAATTTAGAAAATGATAACTGAATTAAAAACACCATTAATACATTCATTAGTAAATTGTAAGAAAATTTTCTTGTAGATACAATTCAATTTCATTTTAATCTAATTAAAATTAAATTACAATTCTTAATTATTATTTTTTTGTCAGTCTCCATTGTAATCGTATAAAATTTATACCAAGGTCACGTACTTATAGCAGAAACGGCCAATCAGAATCACTTGTACAAGCAAGTATTGGTAATCTCATAATCTTATACACTCTACTTTGGGTTTCGTTATCTCACAATTCATAGTTGATATAAAGACACCTTTTCTTCTAACGTGCTGTGATTAGTTGAAATAAACGTCAACCTTGGTATAAATCTTTTTAGATTACAATGGAGATAGATCAAAAATAATAACAAAACAAAATTGTAATCTAATTTTAATTAGACTGATTCCTTTTTACAATAAAAACTTTGTATTTACAGTTTAAAATTGATAAATATTGCACTGTTTACTGGAAATTTCATTATAAATAATGAACAGTCACTAAATAGTGAAATCATTGAAGTCTTTGTCAAATTTGCAAGATCAAGGATCAAGAATCTCTGAACATACTAATTTTGAAATTGAACATAATTTCTAGGATGACCAGATATTTCTTAGCAATTATGTAATGAGATTTATTCTTACATTTTTAGTACCGTATATATCTTAACTTCAAACCTTATCAAATGATACCAGATGAAAATATATGAACATTTATTTAAATGAATGAAAAAATGATTATAAATAAATGACTGAGATTCATTAAAATACACTATCTAGCAAATGTAAGCATAAAAATTGTAATCTATCTCAAAATTGAATGAAGAAATTTGAATATGGAAGATGTAAACTTCAAAGGAAGAGCATAAGGAATGCACCTGACAAAAGTATCAAAAGCACATTAAATCTTTGGTGACATGATATAATAATACTAAAATTTCTAGAGTATTAAAGAAATTGACTACACACAGGAAAGCTCTTTGCATTGCCATGCTGACTAAAGATGTCTAAAGAATTTACTACTTATATTGTATCTCCAAATAATTTCAAATGGTATTGCTTATGCATGGAAACCATCTCATAATTGAATAACTCTAAATATTAGCAAAGAAAGTCATTATTCAAGGATAAGAACTTTGGTTCTTGAGGATCCTTCTCCGGAATACCCGTACCAATTTAAGACTGGATATAGCTACAAAAAGGTAATATCGTTGGTGACCTCTTAAAACCTTGTATTACGATATATGATGACAAATAAGGTGTTTAATAATACAGTATACGAGGCTTTTTGTTTTCATCCACAGAAAAAGGAACATTGAACCTCGTATAATACGTTTATATATGTGTTTTTTAATTGGTGTTTTTTACAATCATGCTAGGAATAAGAGGTTTTGATCACAAGATCTGCGCTTTTCAAGCTTTCAAACGGTACCAAAAGTCAAAATGACCAATAAATATGGCATATACAAGGTTTCAAACAGTCACCCATGATATACTTCATTTTGGAATTGTCTTTAAAGTTTTGAGTAAAAATCAGGTATAAAAGCACACTTCCTATCACACATCTTGTAAAATAATAACAAACAGAAAATAAGTATTAAAAGTATATATGATGACTTCTTTGGAAGCATTGACTTAGTTTTGACTATTTTTCACTTATACACGTAAACCTTCACACCACATGAAAAAATATAAGTTCTGACCGGCAGAACTGTGAGTCAAGATATGTCTTGTATTTCAAAAACGTTTTGATAACACACTTCACAGACTTTCCAAATCTTCAATTCTTGATGGAATCTTTCTCAACTACTTTTATTGTGGCTGGATGATAGAGGAACAGATAGTCAACATTCCATGATAACAAGTCTTAAATTAAAACTTGACTAAATATGACTTCTCTGACTTTTGTGTTTAATTAAGTGTCAGGGCATTTAATTTCTTCCATAATTCCTCCCCATCTGAGTCTAAATTTCTTACTTCTCCATTCCACTGTGGGATTACAATGAGCACAACATATCAAATATATGAAAGACATTTCATTCAATATCCATCCAACTAAAAATTCAAACTTTGAATATTGCAATGGTCCACCCTATAATAGAGAAAATAATTTCATGTTAAATATGAAATCTGTAAAATCATTAAGGAATTATTCAAAGGCAGTTTTGGAACCAGCTCTTTGCCTTTCCTGCACAGGGGTTTCAGAGTAGAATTCTTTGGAATCTAAGTTACGAGTGATATAATTCATGTACATTGCTTCAAAATGTACTAAAACAAAAAAAAACACACTAAACTCAGTGGTAGTGGAAAGCTAAGTCGATAACAAGTTGGATTGTTGTCTACTAGGCAATTAGGTTCAGTTAGTTACCCTCAAGGTAAGATAATTTCTGATGCCTGTACCAGTGCTTTCGAGAGTTGGCTTTCACTCCCTAACATAAAATGATTGCTTAAATGCTCTTCAATGTTTTACTCTATGTATGGGTAAAATCTGAACAACAAAGATAAAAGATAAATACCTGAATAATTTTCGCTAGTATATAGTCTAACAAAAACCATACTAATACATGAACAAGAAAAAATACTGATGATGTCCAATCAAATAAATAAGATACAGCCCAACTTGATAAAGCTCCTAACAACATACATTGAAATATTGGTTCAAATACAATAATAGTAGGAATTGTAGCAATCCGTAGTTTTGTCCACCTGAAACAAAGGTATAGAAAAATCTTATAATTCTGAAAATACTAGTTTCATTGTTAAATTTGTCTCTCTTAAATATGCAATGCCAATGTCCACTACAATTTTGTCAAATATAAGCTATAAGCTGTATATTTTCATGTACTCAAGTTCTAAACTAAAGCGTTTTTTCTTGAAATCAAAGAAAAATTTAAAACATGACAAAGAATTATTACCTTATCAGACGGGCATGAAAATGAGGTATAGAATAATGACCGGAATTTTGTTTGGCTGTTTCAGAACTAATTTTCACCTTCCAGCCCCTGAAATATAATCATCATTCTGTCTAATCATTCCAATCTAAATAATTACTATGATCACTCTTAAAGATTAAAAGCAAATGTATTTCTTTCCATTTCTAAAGTGTATTGAAAACAGAAGTCTAGCTGACAAAAACCACCTTGATCTATATCAACAAAGACCTACTGTATAATCCACACAACTCCCTTCATTTAAAAAAAATCTTTATTAGACAGGTTCATCATTTTTGGGGGTTGATTTGGGTCTTGATTATTTGTAAATAGTACTAGAAATGTACAAATATTGCATAATTCCATCAAACATGCTTCAATGTAGGAATTTCTCTTTCTTTTTCTATTGAAGAGTCTCAAGGAAAGACAGTCATCATTTTGACTTTCTAACATGGATTTGAAGGCTCAAATTTCAATGGTGAGCTGTGATCACTAGTATTGATTAACATAGCTAAAAAAATAACAGCTTCTAAGACTAAGGTAGGATTGGTCAAACGTATGGTGAACCTGTCTCTTTACGAATATTCAATGTAAAAATTAAACGTACCTATCAAGAAAAGCTTGAGCTAATAAATAATCTTCAGCTAAATATTCTCCAAAAGCTACTAGTCCTCCAGCTTCATCTACAACATGTTTTCTCATCAAACATGACATACCAGTTGTACAATTTATACCCAGAAAATTAGCACATAAATACATCTTGGCATGTTGGGTACCAAAAAATACCTGAAAATGAAAAATGTTCTCTTTAGTACTTAGAACTTTTTGGGTTCACATTTTATTGTACTGATACACAGCTGGGTGGTGGCTGAGGTGGGGCCAGACAACTGAAAAATTTGGATGACCTGAATGATTTGAGTGGACTTGTTGAGTAACAAACTTGAGTCACCCTTCAAAAATGTTGGCCCCCATGAGACCCTGGGCTAGCTATGGGTCTGGTACACCAATATAAAGTGAATGAGGTTAATTGATAACCAAAATAGTTTTTGGTTCAGTATACCCATCTTCATGAAACAGATCCTGCTTGGCAACCAGTATTCTCACTTAAAACAATCCATTTTATTACTATATGGAGGAAAATTTACCTTTTCAAAATGTGAAGCAAAACCTTTTCTTTCGCTTATATATGGCATTTGATGTACCATTCCTACATTTTCTTTTAAATTAACTACCATATCTTCTAGTGTATCTTCAGCCACTAAAATATCAAACAAATACATTCATATTGTTTCTTGGCACCTTATTGGGCTAGTGAGGGTTCTATGACTCTATTTTAACATCAGGTATCAAATAGTCCTAAATGTTTTATTTCGTACTATTTCCTTTTTCAGCCTCTAGTAACTGCTAACAGTGTGGAGAAATCTGTACAGAATACAGAATAGCAAACAGTTACACTTTATTTTGTTGAATTATATTTTTCAAGAACTGACGCTTCTGGTCATAAAGATTTAGCTGTTGAATAGCCTTCTTGCTGTACCTAATATATTCAACAGAGTGGCGGGGCCATCTGTATGTAAAATGTGAAATTCTAAAGGGAGATTACTCTTTTTGTACAATTGATGGTAAACCAAATTTTACTGATTATTTTATGTTAATCGATTTCCAGCTAAAAATATTATATATCAATAAAAATCATGGTCACACATTATCATTTCAAAATTTGCTTAATATGATTAGGGACATTTTCGGTTTAGATTTGTAGACTTCACTTAATTTCTAGACATTCTAAGACTATAATTACTATTTTGAAGCTGATGCTACAATTCACATTTTCTTTTTGACCAATTAAAGTATGAAACACAATAGATTACAGAAGAATGAATGACAGTTATTATGTCAAGGTGAACTGTGCTGATATCTTGATGTATTGATAGGTTATCTTGATTTATTTTCCTGTATCAATCATGTCAATAGTGAACCTTATCTTAATAAACTAGTTTAACCACAAATATAAAGTTCACCATTAAATTTGATCGTTTAGTGAGTCAAATATCAGATAAGTTAACTCTGACCTTTTTTCTTTTTTTTTTGTTCTTTTTGTCACACCAAACGGTCTATTTCTCAAAAATCAAATTAAAGAATTAAAAAAAAACATTCAAATATATGCCAACCATTTGCATCTATTTTCAGCAAAGAGGAAATATGGTATCAATTTAAATAATGAGTTTTTTTTTTTTTATCAGATTTATATCAAGTAAAATTATCAACATTTCTTGTCCTAGATATGATAAGATATGATATGTGAGAAGAATTTCAAATACAGAGCAAAAATAATGACATTTATACACTTTTGAATTATGTCAACGGCGTTATATTTTTCAGCATTTATCAATAATTACTTAGTTTAATGAATTTATCATCATATACAGGGATTCTGTTGTTCAGATATGACACCAGGCAAAGTCAACTGATAATAATATAATTTCATTGGCCAAGTTTGAGACTTTAAATTTTATGTCCATTCTAAAAGGTAGAATCCCATTTGATTTCATCAATAAATAATAACAAAAATGTGATAAAATAGGAATTGAAAATACTTACTTTTAATTCCACTGTCTGATATAAGTATTAAATCATATTGAGCAGCATCATAACCTACTATCATATTATTAATCTTTGGATTAACACCTACTATTCTACCTCCTACAATAAATATAATATAAACATCATTTTCAATCTATAACATGACATTCATAACATTTGTTATTTATCATTATTCCACCCATAATAAAATAATATGAAATGTGAATTAGAATACCTTTATAATGGTTAGATTAAGAATTATAAAAGAAAATCATTGTAAAGAGGTTTTCTCTAATTTGTATGTATCGGGGACACTGATAGCATCAATGTGCACCATTTCAAGTTTCAAAATATTTAGTTTTAGTGGAATTGCAGGAAACGCAGATGTCTGATTGAAAATTGGAATGGTGCAAATTGATGATATCAGTGTCCCTGATATACATACAACATTTAGAAAACATTCCCTTTATAGTATCTTTAAGCTGATAGAATTCTTTTGTTATTCTACCTGGTCATAATATATTCAAAATACTGAGTTTTTTCCATGAATTTCTGAAAGTTTGTTTTTAACTGTCCAGTTATTTATTTTTAATGTTTGAGTGCCGAAATCAAATTGGCTCATCATTCTATTCACAGACTTAAAAAAAACAAAATTTTGACATTACTTTTTTATTTCCCTGAAGAACACCAGTCAGCTTAAATTAAGCTCTCTGAGTGGTTAGAAACAAATATCTCGACAATTGTATCTCTTTATGACATGTTCTAAAGTTCTATCCCATTCACAGAAATCAAGAGTCAGCCCTGACAAGCATTGAAATAAAATTGAATGCTAATTTATTGACATGAAAAATTCTTGGCATCCATTTTCTCTCTTTCCTCTTTTTGGCATTAATTATTCAGTCTATAGTTCATTACATTGATCAAGAGATTATCAATGACTGTATACTAGTATAGTACTATTTACTATGAATATTAACTAGTAACTGGGCTATATAGCCATCAGTAATCTGTCACATTAACTGAAGACATAGTGTAGACATATTTGATTAGATGAAAAATTTGGCAATTGATAAATGAGACACAAACTAGACTTTGTCTGTGTTTCTGATAATGACATTCAGATTCCTATAGACACTTGAAATGTCTGACAATATAAGACATCACATTTCAACCTCATAGGTTTGATCACTTAGTTGATGGCCAAGAACCATACCTTGCTAGATCTTAACTATTCTATGAGGCTACAACAAATATTTGGGTGAGGGGCCAGGAATGAATTGGTGCTGGGGCCCAGATTTTGTATTCAGAAAATTCGAAGAATTAAAGGTCCAGAAAACTAATTTCTGACAATTTTGAGGCGCCAAAAAATCTATATCTTTTTGATCTTGTACAAAGACAGTGTAAATGCATTGAACTGAAGAAGGTTTTGCTGGGGCTTAATTCTCACTTGCTGGGGCCCAGGCTCCATGGACCCCACCCTAATGATGGGGCTGGCTATATCTAAATTTCAAACTTTTAAAACAAATTTTTTCTAATACTTTTTTTCAAAAATTTGCCATAAGGCAATTGCCCATTCAACTACATGTAGTTACATCAATGCCTTGTAATCTGATGTGATTAGTTTTCAAAGGATATAGTTACACATTTTTTGCCCTTGTAATATCATTGCTCATTGCCTCATGATGACTTTTTAATTGAGTATATAACTATTGTCCTTAAAACTAAGAATCCAAAGTGTGTAGTGAAAAGAGAAAAATATTCATGGTAATGTCAGGAGATTTGAAGAAGTCATAATAAATCTGTTAACATTCTTAGTCAACTCTTGCCAATTTCTTCCATATGAAAAACGAGGCCAGACAATGTCAAATTATTTCACTAGGGTCATGTGAAGAGGACTTTATCAAATTAATTCAGATTTACAATTTCTACTCTGCAATGTAAACCAACCAATAAATCTCTGATTCTCTAGCAATACCTAACTATGAACTTAAAGGGGAATTCGCTCTTTTTTTTGGAGGTGGAAAAAATTATTAAGCCCAACACCAAAACTTGTGGAATTTTCGTACATTTCTACTACTTCTGAAGACTATTTACATATAGAGACACATCAAGATAGCCCACCTATCCCTTTAACAATTAGTACTCTCCGTTTATAATTAGCCCATTTAAAGCAAATTCAGTCTGATCATGTAGATACACAGATATAAATACTATATAATATGAATAATAAATATATAATATTTTCTGGTATAATTTACAACTTTTTGATAATGAAAATTTTGCATATTACCCCTATAAATAGAGGATTTTGTGCAATATTCAGCCCACTCATACTAAATTTTCAAAGACTTTGTCATGGTCAGCATGACTTTTGCCAAAATACATGTCAATACAAAATGGAACTTTGGATTTTTGACAGTTTTTTCTTTTGTAATATGAATGAATTGAAAATAGAACAACATATATTGATTAACACTACCATATTTAATAAAGAAGTTATAACTCAAGGAAATATCTGTGATAATACACATTGTAGAACTGTGAATTACTGCAGTTATATTTCTCACTTATTGATTTATTACAGACAGAAAATCTGATAGAAAATTCAATATAGTAGGCTAGAAATATTGCATGTTTTGTTCAAACAGCTTGCATTCTCACATCTGTTTGCCATTTTTAGCACATTCAATTTTTGAAATTGTGCAAGTTTTCCAATAAATAACAAAAAGAAATGAATGTTTTACATCCTACTCTTCTATGACAAATTGGGTTCATGAAGATGGGCAACCTCATGCAGTATGCAATGAGGGAAATTTTGCCAGGACAGCCGCATTAGCCTGCTTTTTCAACTGTCAAGGGATCATCCTGCACATCCTGTAGCCTACTAGACACTTTTTCCATGTCAGTCCCTCCAACCTGCATCAATTACAGGGGAAAAACCTGGTTGAAAATATGAAGGTATCTCGACCTATGCCAGGATTGAACCTAACTCACTGAGACATCAATTAGAAAAAAGTATATATAACTTAAGGGTTAATATAAAATTATTGCATAAAATCAATTCGATTTACTGAAAATTGTAATTCCATTAAGTGTTTATCAACTGTACCGTACTTTAAGTATAAAAGTGTTCCAGAATTAATGAAGTAGAGAGAAATAAGTAGAGAATAAAGGAAATGAAACAACATGACTCTGTCTGATAATAAAGGTATTTACTGTCTCATAGCTTCCTATTATTGATGAATAATGATACATGAAGACTTATCAAACCATTCTTTTATAGTGCATGCAAGTATTCAATTACCATGATTACTGGCACGCTATCATTACTTTATAGATGAGATCACAGTAGATTTCAAACTCTAATTATCTTTCATGCTAAGGTAGAAAAAATTCTCATAGAGAAGGATTAAGTTTCCAATAACACTGTCATGTACCTGATTGGTTATGCCATGCTGTAAAGATGTTTTCAAAAATTGTTTATGTTAATTGGGGACACTGATAGCATCAATTTGCATTTAGCATCTAAATTTTCAATCAGGTATCTGTGGTTCTTGCAATTCCACTAAAACTAAGTGTTCGATGATGTTCCTGGTAATGTGAAGAAATGGTTAACTTCTTGTAATGCCTCCAGTTTATTTGCTTATGCTTTGAAATTTGTTCAATAATTGCAAAGGGCCTTATGCGATGAAGCATATTTTGCGATTAGTGACGTCAGCAAACAGTTAGTTTTAGTAGAATGGCACAAACCTCAGACGTCCAATACAAAATTGAAATGGTGCAAATTGATGCTATGAGTGTCCCCAATACAGATACTTTTTTTTTTACAAAACCTTTTTACAATCCCTTTAATAATTCTTCGTTTAGATATAAAAAGAACATTATGACACAGATTTTTAATGAAAACTACACCAGAATTATCATTTAACATACTATTACAATGATTTATTTATAAATCACATTCATTTATTAAGTTGGTAAAACTCATGTTATTAACATTACCTGTTGTGAAATCTCTACAGTTTCTCAACCCTGTGATGGAGAACTATTACTACATTGTAAATTTCATCCCAAAATACATAATGTACAAATGTTATGGCCACTTACCTATAAAAATCTGACTTTTGATTTTTGGATATTTTTTAATTAAGCTTTGAACTATCATTATAGCTGCATCACTCTCATCTTGTATACAAAATAATAACTCATACTGAAAAGCAAAAAAAAATTGTTATTAGAAATGCATTATCAAGTTTAAAAATAGAATTCTTAATCTTATCATTGTCAATTTTCTGCTTTTAGATGGATTCATAGGAGAATCTGGTATAATATTCTGTATATAATGTTCCACCTGATATGTAGCTTTATACTTGAATTTCACTGTCATGTAATGACACCATGACAGATCAAAGGTTTCTTATTAATAACAACATCTCCTGTGTGTATGAAGGACAGAATGATAGGAAAGTAAATGGGTACTGGTTTTGCAAACGATATTGATTAGGTTGTATTTGACCAAATATCATATGTATATGTATGTATGGAATTATGATTCAAAAGAAACATTTATATTTTACAACGGCAACATCTTATATTCTTGAGGATTTTATCAACTAGTCTATTCCAAACCTCTTGGAATTGACTTTTCCTATAACAACCTTGAATTCCCTGCATCTAGTCTATGCATATCTCTATGTATATACGTATCTTAAAATCTATCATAGTTTTATGTGTACATACAAATAAATTATATGTATAGTAAAATACATATTAAATTATCTAGCCTACTACATTATTTTATATAATTATCAGTTTTCACAATAACATTTCCTCAAAAACATTATATACATTGTCTAGTTGTCAGGTTTATTGGTTGACCAGGGCAACATGAAGATATGAAAGCCTCCTGATGAGTAAAAAGTTGAACTATTTATCAAATACATGTATAGTTAGTAGGAAGTGAAATATCATCCACCTTATTAATACAGTATAACAATAGATATTAACCACTTTTTAATAGTATAGGTCACATAGATTTTAACATCCTTATTAAAGTTTAACCTTTAACAACTAATTTCATTAACAGATATAGTACCTAGGTTATCATAGGTTATCATTTTGAACTAAATTAAAGTTGAATTGTCCAGAAATATTATTATGACAACCTTTTTTTCTGAAAAAACTTGATGTCTCTTTTTCCAATTAAAGACCATGGTTTGCTATTTTCAAGTGTTAATTTGAGTCTTGAATATATGTAACTAGTCTTCAGAAAGTACTAGTACTAGAACTGAATGAAAATACACATAATCACTTCAAATTTACCTCAAATTAGAAATTTCACTATCTATTTCTATATGAGCATTTTCTACATATGGCATACTCTCAAGAAAAGACGAGTTGTCATTTTACCTTTGATAAATGGATATCAATGATCAAATATCGATGGTAAACTGTGAACACTACAACTGATTAGCTTAGCTAATAAAATCCTGTTTCTGAGACTAAGTTACTATTGGTCCAAAGGATGGCGAACCTGTCCCTTTAAGGCAGATCATTTTTACCTCATGATAAACTGGACATTGGTTTAATTCTCTTTCTCAAAAGTAATGAATGTAAACAAAATAAAAATCTTTTAAACAGATAATTGGACAGTTGTATAACTTATATATAAATATTTAAATAATTTCACTACCAATTGTATATGAAAAACCCATTTGATTTCATGTCAAACAAAGAGCTAAGATAGTTTCGAAAATATGCAGCCAGGTTTTTTGATTTGTCACAATATTTGTCAAGTGCAATATGGTCAAAACAGCTATATAATTAGTCAATGGAGGTGGCCTTAAAGTAATAACGAATACTAAATGAGTTAAAAATTGAGTTGGTGGTATATATTAATTAGAATAAATCAGTACAATACTAACAATGAATATAAATTAATAGTAAATACAAATATATAGCACTAAAAACTAAACTTCAGTAACAGATGTTCTCAAATTAATCGATGTCAAATTAAAATCATTTCATTTATAATTAATCTTTTTCAATATTTTGAAACATTTATTTAATACATATTAACTGGCTACCGCTATTACATAAATATAAATATTAATAATTTATATTGAGCAACAGATGGATTTTAGTTTTCAATATACAATTCTATAGAACAGGTTCTGAGTATGTTTGACTCTATCGGAATTTTTCCCTTTTAAACTGTCTGAGTAATAATACCTAACAAAGAAAGCTTATGATGTGATGCCTTAAAAATTGCAGCCAGTAACATCTCAGGGATATCAGTTTATTAACATGTTCATTGAAATCGATATTTATAACTTATCTAATTGATTCTACAAAAGCCATGTTTGAAAACTATATCAAACACAAGTTAGACCATATCTATTGGTGTACTGTCAATACCATTAATCTTGTCTCAAAGACTAAAAGAACCAGACTATGTTCGTCATCAGAGCACTGGTATAACTGATACATTTTTACCTGATTTAACCTAATAATTTAACAACAGAATTCCTACATAATTAATGAAAATAAATCTAGTAATCTAAGTCAAAAAACGCTTCAAAATATCAAGCATTTTCTCATAATTACCTTAAGTTTTATGGATAATTATTTAATTTTACGGAGTGATTTATAGACGGACTCTATTGTATAGTTTTAACACTATTCAAGTCCGCTGATATTGATTAAGACTAATTTTTGATTTGAGATTTTTGTGAGGAAGGCGCATAAATTTAAGCTTGAAATCTCAGTAGGTGTTCTAGGTTTTATCAAAATCATATCTATCTATTAAGATTTGTCTTATCACAATATACAAATTGGAGAGACTAACAGAGCAATAATATATACTAATATCATCAAGATGAACTTCACACACTTGATATTTCATCTTCAATCTGTCTGAAAATTTCAAGTGTTGTCATGGCCACCAGACAAGGATCATTTGAATCAACAATAATGATAGTTCAATCATAAATATATTCAACATACTCATACATCAAATCTATCATTCATTAAGAGAAGCTTATTCACAAGAAGTCAACCATATAAAGGAAACCTTGTCCAAAATTGAAGTAATATGTTTTATGCAGCAACCCTATATGCCTGTGCCTGTGCTCTCGTAACATCATAAACAAAAAATGTTTCCAACTAAAATTCGTAAAAAACAAACTGTCAAACCGTTTTTCAGTCTCTGGTTCTGAAAAATTAACAAAAACTTCTAATTTAATGATATTTTGAATGCTTTAATGACAGAAATTTAAAAAAAAAAAAATCTATAAATCAGACTTCTGAATCTAACAAAGATTTAGATCTCATTTTAGAATGATAAAAGATGTTGGCTTTGACGAAAATCATCATGATTTCAAGCCTTCGTTAGATAGCAATTTAAGCTCCTATAGCTTAGGAATAATACAGCACTGATTCTAGTCACCCTTCATTAGGTACAATACCAACACTAAAACCAAGTATTCAGTCTAATGGTTTAATATAAACTTATACAGCACCAGTATGGTTTATCTTGTAAGGTGATAAGTACAGTATGTGGTTTATTGTAAGGTACTAAGTGCCTTAACATAGGAATGGTAAATCACAATGGTGCTTCACATCAGTTGACCATTAATTAATCTTGTAGACTACAGTAGATTCATTCTGGAAACAATGCTCTAACAGTCTTATCAAAATCAGACCAAACTTTCGTTCCGTTTTTATATTGGTTTATATATATAATTATTTATTATATATAATGTTCAATCAAACAAGTTTGAAACAGGGTTCAGAGCGCATTCCACGTGTGGTGCAATAATAGTTGGTGCAAAATGGCGAACGAAGGAAATAGATGGGAAAAGACAGGATCTCTCCAAATGATGGTCTTGATAATGACTACATGTATGAGCATGTATAGAGTTGATTGAATAAGAAATTTGACATCCCAAAAATATTTCATGATTTTACAATATATCTATTTGTCTGGTTCATCATCAACATTTTATATTTCTATGTGTTTAATAATTTACAAATTCTTACAATCCCTACCAAGATGACCAGTAAATGAGTATTAGACATTCTCTACTGGCATGAGTAATGTTTCTATGTAGAGATGGCATACTGACTTCTATAACTATCTAGTATAAGAAGGTATGATATTTTAACAGCTGACATATACTATGTATTAAATACCTACCAGACATCACTGTGGTATGTTTAGTAGATAAATTATTGCCAAACCTCTCTAGAGTGTTAGTCTGTTTCTTTTCTACAAACTTTTCCTATTACTACCTACATATGATTTTATTTATGGCAAAGATGTCTACATGCTTTTAATAATTGATTTAAAAATCAAACTCAGAGCATTGAACCTTTAGAATATCTTTAAAATTCTTATATTTATGTCTTGAAGTAACATAAAGCATTTTTAAAGTTTTTACTAACATGAAATTCACTGTAACGTTGTGATTCAAATTTTAAAAATTTATTACTTGTCTATTATACTTTATTCAAACTTGTAATTCAAACTTCAACTACAATGTCATTGCTAATATGTAACATATTGTATCAGGAAATGAAAATGTGAACTATGAATTATGATATCACTAACAGAATGTATGTACAAACATCTGGTAATAAGGAATGTACTTTAACCGACTTTTTTCCAGATTCAAATTCAAAATTTTCAACATATTATCATGTTTCCAGGCATGAAAATACAGCAGCCAGGAGTAATAACATAGCTTGCCAGGCAAGGTAATATACGCCCACTGGCAGCTTTGACTTAAAATAAAAATATTTGGCAGTACAGCAACAATTACCAGTATGAAATATTCAACCTTCAGACATACACTTCTTTTGAACCTTTTGAGGCGATACTGAATAATATTACCAAGTTTCATCAAAATCTGTCAAGAATTGGGCCTTCTAGAGTGTTTTCAGGCCAAAACTTGAACATGTTTTTAAGAATAAGAGCAATAACTCATACTAAATAAGACTATGTTCTAGTCACCATCTATATACTTTTCGATTTTTCTGATTTTCATTAGGATTTATCATTGGGCTATTACCGATGGACGATAGACGGACATGGGTGACGACAATATATGCCCCCATTTCATTTAGTTTTAGTAGCTGCCCGATTCACATTAATTTACAAGCTTAGATGTAGGAAAATGAATGTTCTTTGTGTTTTGTAGAAAAAGTAAT